AATAATTGACGTATAACGGAGGAGCAAGTGGATGGATTTCTGCACATTAGTACGTTTGGACAAGCAACCGATGGCATATCGCTTGGCCATGTTTCGACACGTAGCCGGGGAGGACGCGCGCCGTGTTCTAGAGACATTGCACTACGACAAAGACAAAGATCCCAATGATTTGGAGACGGTCATAGAAAAGTTCAGTGAGTTTTGCGAAGGTCAAACCAACGAGACGCACCAGCGCTACCTTTTCTTTATGCGAAACAGAGGCCCAAATGAATCCGTCGACGCGTACATCACTGAGCTGAAGATTTTGGCTTGGTTCTGCAATTTCTGTAAATGCATGGGTGACAGTCTCATACGCGATTGGATTGTCCTAGGAATCAATGATGAAGGCAGGACAAAGCGGCTTTTGCAGCAATGCAACTTATCGCTCCAGCAGTGCATCGCTATCTGCAACAGTGAGTCCTCGACCATCTATCAATAACAACAAATGAACCTCGCAACCGACGCAGCATTGTGTGCCGTTTCCAAGGGCGAAACAACGAAGGCCACCAACGTGAAACAGGAGATCTGCAAATTTTGCGCTGCGCGACACCCGAGCACTCACGAACAACGTCCAGCGTGGGGACGGAAATGCGCCAAATGTGGAAAGCGGAACCACTTTGCTGGTTGCTGCCACTCAACCAATGTGAGTTCGCTTGTTCGTGACCATTCACCCGCAGAGGTAGAACATCCAACTGGCAACGTAACTAAGGGGTTCATAAAAATATGTCTACGAAAGTCTTGATCAAAGGCAAAGCCGTACCATTCCAGTTATACACGGGTGTTACCATCAAGATTCTACCAAGGAAGCACTGTCCCGCAGTGTGTATCCGATCCGATCAAGATTGCCTGCACATGTGGAATGGTCCTAGACTCCATCCGAAGAGCTCAGCTACAATCGAGGTGGTTAACCCAAGTGACGGAGCCTCACATCGATTGGAGTTTGTGATCGTGGAGGAGCTCAAGCCGATTCTCGGCATTGATTCTATCCAGTCACTCAATTTGTGTTTTTTAATCATGATCGTTTCGTGCATGCTTGCCAGGGAGAACCAGATGTTAGTGATCAGTATCCGTCTGTGTGCAGCCCAGGCTTGGGAAAGTTTGAGGGAACCCCTCACTTGCCCTTAGATTCTTTGATACAACCGGGTGAGCTAACGATCAGGAGAGTTCCATTTGCGCTGCGTGACAGGTTCTCCGCTGATTTGAGAAAATTAGCGAGAGAGGGTGTGATTGCCAAAGTCGACAAGCCAACCGAGTGGGTTAGTCAGATCGCAATCATTATGAAGACGGGCGAAGTACGCGTGTGTATTGACCCAAAACCGTTGAATGAAGCCCTGCGTAGAGAGCATTATGCGCCATCTACCTTAGAAGACACTTTGCCGTGTTTGGCCAAAACTAAATATTTCACGAAGGTAGATCCGTCTTCCACATTCTAGCATGCAGTTTTAGATGAAGAATCCAGTTTTCTTACTACCTTTGCCAGACCGCTCGGGCGCTATCGTTGGCTGCGTTTACCGTTCGGTTTGAAGGGGTCGAGAGAAATTTTCCAAAAGCGATTTGTGCAATAAGTAGACGATTTAGATGGTGTAACATGCATAGCAGACGATGTTTTGATCTGACTCGACAGAAGAAGAGCTTGACGCCAATCTCCACTGTTTCTTGAAGCGTTGTGTGCAAAATAATGTTAATCGTAAACGCAAGAAAATTGAACTTCGGAAAGAGGAGGTGATTTTCCATGGGTATTTGCTAACAACCCAAAGGATCAGGTTCGATCCAGGAAAAAATAAGGCAATTCGAGAGATTCCGCTCTCTAACGACATGAAGGGAATCTAGCGCTTTAATGGTATGGTGGTTTACTTGAGTTATTTTATGCCAAGACTCGCTGATATCATGACACCGATCAGGAAGCTAACTCACAAAGGAGTAAAGTGCAGTTAGAGAAAGGAACAAGAAACTGCGTTTGCAACTATTAAGCACTTCAACAGCAACGCGCCTGTGCTCGAGTATTAGGATCTAGCGCGACTTTTGGAGGTACAGTGTGACAGTAGTCAAGACGGAATAGGTGCTGTTCTATTACTGAATGAAAAACCTTCGGATTTACGCAGTCCAGCACACACCGCGACCGAGCATCGCTACGCGCAAGTTGAGAAGGAGATGCTCGCGGTAGTCTATGCCATGGAGCGTTTCAATGATTATACTTTCTGAAGAAAGACAACTGTGTGTACCGATCACAAACCGCTTGTGTCAATAGTCAGGAAATCGCTGCACGTCGTTCCTCGTCGTCTTCAGCGTTTACTTATCTGGCTTCAAAAGTACGACATGGATATTGTGTACACGCCTGTTGCACAGATGTTCATCGCGGATACGCTGTCAAGAGCTCATCTGCCGGTACCCGAGCATAATCCGGAAGAGGTAGAAGCAGTAAACTTAGTACAGCACCTGGCAGTGACAGAAGATCGCATAAAGGAAATAAGGCGATACACAAAGGAAGATGCAACGCTTGCAGCTTTGTGAGACGTTATTCTAAATGGATGGCCAGAGACAAAGAAGCAGCTGCCGAAGGAACTAACACCCTACTTCAATTTTCGGGATGAACTCTCTGTCTATGATGGTTTGCTGTTCAAAGGAAGCCGTATTCTGATTCCGTCATCGCTCCGAGGAGTAGTGCTGAAATACGTTAATCGCGCTGAGTGCCAACTATACCGTTAACCGAGCAAGAGAATTGATCATTTGGCCAGGAATGACGGGTCAAATCAGAGATCATGTATCGAATTGTGAGGCGTGCCATTCACACGAAATCCGGAAGACGAGGGGACCAATGATGCTGCACGATGTCCCTGATCTACCGTGGCAGGTGGCGGTGGATTTATTCAGTGATAACGGAAAAGATTACTTACTCACTGTGTATTACTATAGTGATTATTCTGGAATCGATTTATTCGCCACTACGACCACAGAGGTAGTAGTCAACAAGCTCAGATGTCAATTCGCGCGGCAAGGAATAGAGCTGGTCTCCGACAACAGTCCTCAATTTACTAGTGCTGTGTTCCAGGCCTTCGCAACCAAGTGGGAATTCATGCACCAGAAAACCAGTCCATATCACAGCCAAACGAATGGAAAGGCAGAGTCGGCAGTGAAGCAGGCCAAGCGACTGTTAGTAAAGGCTAGGGCAACTGGCGAGGACCTGTACTTCATGATACTGGAGAACCGCAATACTCCTTCAACGAATATTGGTTTGAGCCCAACGCAGTGTCTATATAACCGAAGGACTAGAACTCTGATGCCGGCATCTGCCACACTTTTGCGCCCAGTCTCGCCACAGCATGAACGATTACAGAACAATCTGAGAAAACGAATGGCCACTCAGAAACGGTACTAGGACTGCGGTGCATGGGTACTACCTGAGGTAAGAATGGGGGAGGAAGTGTGGGTTCTACCAACACTCGACAGTCAAGAGCGGTAGAAGAAAGGTGCGGTGACTGCGAGGATCCGTGCCAGTTCATACAAAATAAATGTTGGAGGGAAAACGTTCAGAAGAAATCGAGTGCATTTGAGACGACACCGGAGACAACAATGTGGATTGGGGGTGGAGCGCCATATGGTGTGGGGCAAGGAGACCACGGCCGCAGATATAGCGAAGACGACGCGGAGTGGCAAGGTGTACGGGGTGTGTAGCAATATGGAGGCGCAAAGACAATAAAAATAAGCAGAATATGGTGTGAGTGTCAGATCAGAGTGAGCGGATGGACCAATCGAGAGAGCCAGACAGCCAATGGGAGGCAGGCGTAACAGATTCGAGTAGAATACTTGGATTGGCCGATATTCACTTGAGGGATTCACCGTGTTTGACTGAACCACAGGAGGAACTTTATCGACTCAGAAGGGTCGTTAGCTATGGACGTGAACGTGCAACTTATATCCAGGAGTTTGGCTTATTAAACATGCTGTAATTTTCACTGACGACCTTGCTGAATGAACGATTGTCCATGAAGGACAGTTCTGCAACACAATCGATAATCATGACAATCAAGCATGCACAAACATATTGTCTCGACAGGCCACAACACTCTCCAGACCTTTCATAGTAGAGTTCATCACATCTTGGAATGTGGCTGGCAATACGCTAAGACCGAAGTGAAGAAACCGATAACCGTACAACCCAAAAGGTGTATTAATAGTTGTCAGTTCACTGGAATCCTCAGTGAGTGGCAACTGCAGATATACATGTTTTGAGTCTGTGGTCGCCGAGTTCTGTGGCCGTTCGTAACCATGGTTATGTGCAAATCCGAAAACTAGTGCCGCTGATTGCTGTTGTGCATGTTTATCCTTATTCTATACATGGTTTGGCTCGGTTGAAATGATCTGAGATCCAATGAAACGATGCGTTAATCGCATTATCTACTACTCGTGATTTTGCGAATTTTTATGGCTTCGTTTCATGAACATGTTCAGTACTCTTCATATCCTCACAATTAGCTTAAGTTTCCAGTTTGACAACTCGTAACCAAGCTCCGGTCGTGGTACCCGCATCCATATAACCAATTGTGAAACAGCTACAGTGCCAGCAACTTTGAGTAATTTCCTCCTCGGTGCGCATTTGGCCACAGACTATATCCATTAACTTATTCTAGAAACTCAACTATCTCACTGACACATCAAAAATTGAATTCTCTTCAACAGCAGTTAAGTGACATATTCATCTCACCGAGATTCATACACAAGTACCTTACTGGTCCAGTTGACCGTATAAAACACCATTTCGTTAGTCGGTGCCGTACGGATTATCCCGCAATTAAAAGGCACAGCGTAACGGTGCCCGCCCACACGTGGACGCATCACAACACCACACGAGCAAAATATCCTACTCATAATGCAGCTAACTGACCTCTATATTACTTCGCAGCCCTTCGCACTCCCATAAAGATACCCGTTCGCCCGCAAGCCGAATAAAGCTAAGAAACGTGCTTGAGATTACTTTGTATCTATTTTCGAATAAAAACCCTGAAACGCAACACAGCAATCAAAACTCCGCAAAGTAACGCATGGCTGACTCTAGCTGGGAACGAAAACCAAGATCTCTGATAACAGATTAAATCACAATTATGTTCAAATGGATATCGGACTCTTTGAACAATGCTTGAGTAAAATAGACCGATAATATGTTCAGCTGTTCATTTACATGATGCACGCCGCCAGTGGTATGCTCGCACGGGCATCGTGGTTTGCGCTGTTCGCTTGGTGAGAGAGTGGGTACAACACCGTAGATCGTGCGATTCATGTACAATTTGTTATGTTCGGAACTGAGCGAAGCACGTTCGCCAATCGCAGTAATCGTGTTCCCACCTCCGGATGCTGCAGCATAGTATGGATGGTACTGGAAATGAAGGCAAAATGGGTTAGATATTGATACCTGCTGGTCTTATCTTGAATGCTTTATGCACAAATGGAACCTCAGTTCAATTAGTTGGTCCAAGTCACTCTTTTGGGTAAGGGTTGTGAGGGAAGGTATGAAGGCATACGTTGTGGCTGCATAACTGCTGTAGTCCATGTGGTAAACACGGTGTGTTTTATTTGGTTGCAGACTAGTTGCAACTGGTGAGTAGCAGGATAAACCCTTGAAAATCAGATGAGGGGCGATCAAGATGAGTATGAACTGTGCATAACAAAAAGTGCCAACTCGCAGCTTAATGCGGTTGAGACGTGATGGGGAATCAAATATACAAGCAAATGAGTACAACTGCACTGCGTTCACTTTTGTACACAATCGGAACATGGACAAAAATGTGGACGCTTCGATACAGCGAGCGTGCAGCGCTACGATTTCTGCCCTCTCACACTGATTTTGCTAGACTGAAATTGAGCGCGCATTCTTTATGCTTGTGTTCACTCCATCCGAATTCACAACCTGTATTCGGTGTTTCCAAATATCGGTCCTAATCTGTAAGGATTACTGAATTTGTCTAATATGCAATTCCTGGAAATTACCAGCAGAACTGGCGCGCATAACTACATTGTTTTCAGACTGCGCAGGATTATTTGTGATCTTACCAGAATGAAGACTGAGGGTTATCTAAGAAGGCCATGTTCAGTCTTGATGGCAGGTACAGTGCAGATTAATTTATCTTTCAAAGGCGACTGAGGATACGCTTACACTCACGTTATGCCCATGCGCGCGTCTAAGACTGTGCCTGTAACCACGTTACCGCTTCCGCCAGCGTCCACGCCTTCATCGGAGCGATAACTAGTGTATAACTCCTTATGTTTCACTCACGGAAGGACATCGTGACTTGAATGGGTCGCAGACGAAGCTGGCTGGCGAATCAGTACACAACCACGACAGTTACCAGGTGCTTGACAGCGCGCTACTCCAACAGTGTGAATCCCAAAATAATGGGTCTTATGAGCATGTTCTCTATTTCTGTTGTAGTCTAAGGTGCTCTAACACGACCTTGTAGGATTAATATTTATCCAGTCTCGCCCTCTAAGCGTGCCTTGACAAGCAATTACATCGTCGGATGGTCAACAGCTGTTACCGCACCGAAATTGCAAAAAACGCATTAAGGCAACTGTAGTGTGAAGTTGCTCAGATAAGCGAATGATCTATTGACCGACAGGCTTGCAATTCTAAAACATGGCGATGTGGTTAGGCACAAGATATAAATCACTTTTTCACTATCTGGAGATAACGTACAAAATTTGGTGGTAGGCCCATATACGGATCAAATAAAAAACACGCATCGTGTTCGCTAATATAGCTGCATCGAAAATTGTTTAATAATTACGATGCTTCAAAATTGCAGTGGCTCTCAACTTTCCAGATAAACTGCCAGAAGCATCATTTCAAATGGAAGACACTCGGTGCTGCTGTATAGGGCTCTGAAAGAATATTCAGCGCCAAAACTGCCCTGAACATTTCACTTCATTGATACATTGACAGCACTACCTGAAAGACACTGGGAATCCTAATCGATAAAATGTCCCTAAGAAGGGAATTTCGGTGGGTCAATCATTACCATCTTCGAACTATTGGGCTACAAGTTCCCTAATAGTCATCACTACGCGTGTCAATATTTTACCTGACCAGCACGCCAGTGCAGGAAATTAATACGCCTCAAGATAAGAAATACTGGCCTCCTGCCATCAGTTTGGTTAACAGACCCAGTGATACTGAGGCTTAAACAACTAAGCTCGGTGAAAGGTTTACCCATAAAACGACATCTCTCAATATTCTAAAACACATGAAATGCCATAAACGGAAACAAAATAAAGTTTACATACCGATCTTAGCATCTGCATATTGTGTGATTCATGTACGTTCGACACATACTCAATGGGAAACAAATCAGCACCCATTCAGGTTTCCGCGTATTACCTTGACTCCGGTTGAAACGTCACAAACTAGAATGCCTACATAACCCGGCGAGGTCACTGTGTCAAACCGACCCGCGAAGGCAAGTCGAAACACAAACTGGATTTGGTATTGTTCTGCTGTCAAATTCTTGGAAGATACTTGGAACCGATCGAGTAGTTATGAGTTCAGAGAGGTTTGGAAACAATCGGTTTGGTATAGTAGTTTGGTAACGTTTCGCCTTTAACATAAAGGCTTCGTCAGACCAGGTGAATCAGTGTGCAATTGGTGTGGGATTTTATAGCGAACAGGGGCGATAACCGCGTTACCCGAGTCTTGAGCCATGAGTCATTACAGGAACAGTACGGGATGTCACCTCAGGTGGTTCGATCACAGTGGGAATAGTCCAGGTGTTCCTTTGTGCGTCATGACATTGACGGATAAGCCCATAGTGTTGACAATGGGAGTCGGTTTGCACTTTTCAATCTGATCCACGCATCGATGCTCGTCAAGCTGGTCGGCTTAAGACCGCTGTAATCCTAAGCTGCTTTCCAGGCATGTTAACAATTTCGCAAAACCCAGTGAGGCATTCCGCCTTTAAACATCGCACATGCGCAAGCACCTAACAAGCAGCTTATGCCCTTAGACATCAGTTTGTTTGTACTTTTCAGAACGCATCACCATCTCATACCATTCTCACACAGATCACGTCCCCACCAGGACTAAGCCACATTTCCTTCACAGCATCGGATGTGCTGAAGCGACTGATGTCACTAATAATAAAATAAATTATAATGTGTCAGCTGTATGTCGTAAGGGCGCTTCGTCGCCGTTCGACCACCACTATTCGCACGCGGGTTGAATATAGCGGGATGACGTCCACTCCTACGCAGATTCGAACCCGCACTGTAGGATTACGGAACAAGCGCGTTACCTCTAGCATACTACTAGTGTACAGTTTGCCTGGTCCGGATAACATACGACCCAATCTTTGAAGGTAGCTGTTACGAGATTGCATAAATCAATTTCACGATTCTCCAGCGCTGCCTCGACAAGATGTAGGTCTAAACTGTGTTGGAGCGTGGGATAGTCACTCCTAGTTAAAATTAAAAGAGGAGGCAATCATACTGTGCCCGCAAACTGCCGTCAGATTGTGCTTCTTCCTGTTATGGAATCTGCCGTTGCAGATGCAGTCATTGGATATTTAGAAAGGTGCCATATCATCGTGAAGGAGCAGCATGGATCCCGTCACAACCGCTCAGGTACGACAAGCCTTTCGTTAGCCTGTGCGAACTGGACGGAATCCGTCGATGCTGGAGTGGGAGTCGACGCCGCCTACCTTGACTTATCGAAAGCGTTTGAGCGTCTAGATCACCGCATCATTCGTTACAAACTCCGAAGGTATGCGATCGCTGACCCTATCCCAGGCTGGATGCATTTATTCTTACTCCAACGACGCTTAAGTGTGAGAGCTCGTAGCGCTCTGTCCGACCGGATAGAGTTTCACTGTGGCGTCTATCAACGCTCGGTACTGGGACCATGACAGTTCTTTATGTTCATAAACGACCTGAGGGGAGATTTAAACGTCCGCATTTACCTGTTGTCCTTTGAGAAGGCTAAAGTATCTTATTCATGCTTGATACCAATAAAAATATGCCAGTATGCAGAGCTTCTCCACACTACGGCAACATTCGCTTAAGAACTTCAGCATGACGTCGACATAATTCGACAGCCTGATGGCGACTGAAGTACATTTAAAAATCTAGGACGCCATAGTACTTTGGAAAAATCAGTTCCGCTTTTCTCAACAGCCTGGGATAAATGAACTCCATCATGCCGCTAAAGATATGTCCCCTCTAATCAAGGATACACACTACTGCTATGTCTGTTAGTATTGTTATTATTATTATTATTAGTAGTAGTAGTAGTATTAAACGCTCCTGGTATCCACCCTATTTTCACAACTAGCTGAGTTTTTTAGGTCCAAGTTGCGCTTCACATATGTGCTGGTAATGCTAATAAAATATCAGTAAAAATCTCGCGATCAATGGAATAAATGTGTACTCATTACCAGAGAACATTGGATTTTGCTGCAGCTCCGGTGAGGAGTGTTTAATGGCTGGAAACTCAAACAAGTTGGGTTTCTTGAGACCCAAAACAAACTGTGTTAATGTGAGACCGACTTAAAAAGCACAAGAAGAGGTAAATTAAGTGCCAGTCTGTCGAATTATATGATGTTTTTGTTTTTGGGTTTTCTACTCAGCTTACTCGGGGATAAGGCGAAAAAATCAGACGGATGGAAACTGTCTGATTACTTACCTATCATCCTCGGGCTTTCCGTGACGCATGCGCTGTGTTATGGGGTGATTCTCCTCGTTGGAACTGGAGCTGCAGTTGGATAAATTTATCCCGGGGGGAGTATCCTTATTTAACACAACGTCATGTATCAAGTTTGCAACTTGATGAGACAATTCCCGCTCATTTCTTAACGCTGGAACTCCTGTACTTGTGGCCACTAACTCTGGTTCCACACACTTATCCTTGGAATCCCCAAGCAAGGACAGCAATTCGTCCAACAGAGCTGACATCTGTCGCACAATGCCCGTGGATTTGGAGTCGGTTCGTTTGGAAGAGTGAATGGATGATGTGTTCGTGACAGATTGTTGATTCGTAATAGAAATCCTGTTGAGGAGAGGCGTTCCTTGCCTAGTGGCAGAGCAAGAGTGATGTGATGATTGAATAGGGCAATCCAGTGACTGCATAACTCCGGCCCCAGGTGCAGCGCGCGTCGGGTCGAAATCTGTGGGGGCATTGTTGAGCTGTTCACTTACGGACTGTGAATGGACAGGTGGCTGATTGCAAGCGACAACAAGCAATGTGGACTGAGGAATGGAGGTACTTTGGGTAGTACCACTTGGAAGTACGGTGGGACCATCGACCTCGTGAGGAGATAAAGCATTCGCCTGAAAAGAGTATGATTCAAAGTTGGTTAACTGAGCCTATTGGTTTGCAACACTGATTCAATGGGAGAAGCATAACTATATTACTTAGAGCCGTTGGCTCATATTATGTGATAAAATTACCTGTAGTATCAGGCTCAGAAACAGATCGTGCTTAGGCAAATATTTCTAACAGAATGTTGCAGAAGCATTGGGTTTTGACCAAGCAAATGAAGTTTTGAAATGATGTATTTCATATCAGTAATCTCAGTGCGAGGATAAGTCCAACGTCAATTTACAAGTGGCGGAAATACTTGCAATTAACACATGAAGGGGATATGCTATTTGGTAACGAATCAGACAATCACAGAATGGTTCATAAGTAAGCAACGGTGTTGACTTGCCTTTCCCGTGACTATTTTGCCAGGATCTTACTTAGTGGATCTCTCGAGGCTTTGGAAGTATTGGGCGGAAACTTCGCTGTCGTTCATTTTCATTCGCAAATTTTAATTTCTGTATTTTGCGGGAACTTTTATTGATTTCGCAACCTAGGCTTGTTAAGCCTACAGTATCATGGTACGTAACTTCTCAAAAATACCATAGCAGTCGCTTAATGGTCCAAGTTCGAAAATAGCAACCAAAGTCAAATGTTTCGATTATTGTGCTAGCTTTCATATTTCGTGTGCTGGATTAGCTACCGATTCCTATCATCTACTCTGCTTTCAATACCATTTCATGTAAATTTTGTACAACAAATGCCGCAATGGAAAACAACCCGAGAGAAGTACGACCTTTATCGACGCAATTCGTGGTCTAAAATGTTCAACTGTGAGCAGCTGAAAATTCACCCTTCATGGGTGCATAAAAGCGAATTTTTTGGACTTGACAATACTAGATACATGGTCACATGCACTTACCCGGACTCCACCCTAGTTTCAATCTAGCTTTCGTTTCCTTTCCCTGGCATGTCATTGCCATATCGTCCCATGGCTTGTGTGGGCACCGCAACTCAGTTGGAGGATAATTGTTTACGAGTGTTATATACGACTAGCTTTGAGTATCCAGGGAATGAGTGTCCTATGGATGAGGAGCAACGGAAAACTAAACAGCTGAAGAAACCACGAAACTAAGATATTTTTCCTGTTGCCGGTCAACGTCAAACCAAAACGAGCGAGGTTAGACGTCTCTTTTCTGGCAGGACCCGCATCGATTCATCAAAGGCGGCCGAATCAGATGGCCTGGCACGCATCTGTTCAACGGTCCGAGTCTCCGGGCTAGCTATGATCACGAACTTTAGTTTCTACAAAGCCTGGTTGATAGGCTCCTTGGTATGGGTGAGGACGGAGTGAAAGTGAAGCAAGTTATCCGCCTCGGCAAAAAGACAGCTGAGAAAGACCGATCCATGCGGGCAACTTTTGCCAACAAACCCGGCCCGAAACTAATAGTCTCAGGTAGGTAGGCCGAGAAGCGAAACAGTGCAAATCCTTCCGGATATGGGTCCAGCTGACCTAGAGCACCTCAATGCCGGCCCAAAGTGGGGATACATATTAACCCGTACATGGATCCAGTTAACTGGGAAAGTCGAAAGTCTGCCATCATCGATTTAAAGCTGTGAACTGGCAGAAGAGAAACAAACCTTCGGCTTTCGGACTTTCAGGTGAGTCCTACGGGAATCTAAAGTAGGATCAATCGGTCGCTCGTGCTTCAGATACGTCCAGTGGTTGCTACTACGGCTTGCTTGTAGTCCATGGTAACGTCTACAATCTCATGCACAAGCGTGATGAGCTGTGTCGCTTCGTTGTCTCTGAATGGCCAGATGTGGTATAACTCGCGCAGACGTGATTGAATTCAGAGGCAGTCGTCCAGGAAGTCGAGTTAAGTGATTGCTAATGTTTCCGTTGTGACAGACCAACGAATGGCCGAGGTGACGTTTTGCCCTACAATTGGTCTTCTCTGTGAATACCTGCCAAAACGACGGTGGTCCACGTGAGTAGTTTTGGTGATTGATCCTTCTCAGGCGCAGAACTGCTCGTGTATGCCTTGTACCGCAATCCTCTGAGGTGTTGTTTGGGAGGGCTACTGCATAGCGGAAACCACATAAGTCGTTGCGATTTTCCACGCTTGGGTGACACACATTTTCTTCGAACGCGCTGACCTGAAATTCAACTCATTCACGGACTGCAAGATCGAAGCAAATTTCGTAGAAATGGTACTTGAAACTGCGGTGGCACACGCGCCAGCCGACGCGTATAACATTGCGCTCAACTCCGTCGTACCTAGACTTGATGTGAACAAGCTGTGAACATGTGCATGACATTTAGATCCTGGAGTCCCTTACAACAAGCAACCGCTCAGTAGTCATTAGCAATATGGAGCTGCCGATGTTGCATTCTCATTTACGGCAGCTAACATGCAACTACTGGAAAACTGATGTTGATGGTCTATTTAGAGTCGCGAGTCAAGTGATCTGGTCACTGCCACATGCTGCGTCTGTTGAAGACTGTTGGCCGGTTATAAATGATGGTAAATTCACTGGGGCACTGGTTTTTGCCCCTCAAGTGGCGGAAAGTCAGACCACTGAAGCTATATTGGTTCAACAAATAGTATGGTAAAATGGCTGAGTGGTGGTGCATATTGTGGGATAAATTCCTATTCTCTGTCAATGCCTAGGAAGCATATAGGATACAGTGGAATGTGAAACAGTGCAAGAACGAGAAAGCACCGGCATTTCGGAAAGGAGTTAGCATCCATCGCAAAGCTGTCCCCAAGAGGATCCATGGTTACTTAAAACCCACAAGTTCACTGCCAGTGTTAAAAGGCTCGTAAGAGCAATCCTTGACCCCCAGCACTGGTCATGCGTACCAGTTGGCGGCACATCTCACTTCTGTATTTGCAAACGACCAAACGTATGTACCGAGTTTAAGGTACGCCAACTTGACCGAATTCGATAGTCAGAAGAGTTTCGTCCACTGATTCTCATGTTGCTATCAATCATTATCAACCGTGACTGATCTGTCCAGAAGGTCACTGTCCGAAGGCGTATTGTCAATCAACTGGAAATGTTGGGCAGGTTAGCTGATTCCGAAAGGTGACCCAAACAAGATGAACAACTCCAGGCCGATCTATCTAACCCCTATGTGGCCAAGGTAGCGGAGAAAATTGTTGCTCCGATCCAAAGATCTGGCGCCCGCAATGTACAGTTTCATGCTAGCCGTCCATGCATCACTAACCTGCTCGTAATTAGGCATAAATGGTTACGAGCACTGAAATGGGGAAGTCAGTGGACGTGAACATCAATTTCTGCAAAGCGCAGAAGGTGAAGAACGAGGTCCTCCCTCACAGGTTGAGACTGTGTGGTATTGGAGGCTTAGTGCGCCAGCAGGTCTGAGAGTTTCTGGTTATACGAAAGTGGATGGCCATCTGATCTACTGGTATCCCTCGATCAGTGGCGTTCTCCAAGGCCTACGCTACTTCTACTTTGCACTAACGATCTACCTCAAATTCTTTTGTCGCCATGTATCCTGGTTTCTTCGGGCGACCTGAAGATGCGGGGTTAGTAGGACCACCGAAGGCTGCGACTTGTCTCGGCAAAACAAAAACTGTTCCTCTGTTGTCCGAAGAAGACAACCCTACTTTCAGATTAGTCAATTCGGCATTAATAAGTCTAGAGATGGTGGTGATGGCCAAACCTATATCCTCGGTGGCCGACCACTGCATCCAAGAGCTTTCCTGATGGACGCTGCGATTTGAAGTCCATTAACAAAAAGAGTAGGATGTAGCGAAACAGATTGCTCAGGCCTTAGGTGCACGAACTCGGCTTCTGCACCCGCCTCTTCTCCTCTACCCAAAGACTAACACGGCTCACTCACCTACTGTCCGATCACTGATCGAACGGATCCAAAATATCACTATCAGGCTTATCTCCCGTTTACGGGGTTAGAATACGAAGACCAGAGCGATGGGCTAGGACTCTGCACTCCAGTACTATCGCTGGGTGCCAGCTAATCTCATTAAGGTCTGCTGTGCTTTGTATCACGCTAGCTTCTACATACTGATGACGCTCCTCCAACTGCGAGCACCTTGCAGCACACATGGATGACCGGACAAGTGAGTTCACCACCCGTTTTCTTCGAAAGTCAAGTGGTCGGTATTTGGAACTGCCTGTAACAGAACATATTGAAGACCAATTCGGTGCAGTAGTTTAAAACACTCCGGGATTGTTCAACTATGAGATTTAGAGAACGATTACTCACTGACAGTGACATCACACATTTGTGTGCGACGTGGTCCTGTAAAACAGACATTTTTACGATATTACACGAGAAGTATGAAAACGATTAGAGTACCAACAGGTGACAATTTTTAACTTCATTGATTGTATTTCGATAATTGTGCAGAATTAAAGCTTGGTTTGCCCCTAATACAGCATCCAGTACCCCATAATGAGTACTATCTTTAGTTCAGATTACCAGCGAGAATCATCACAGTTTGATTTTTGTTTACCTACAAGATAGGATCGTCGTTTGAATACAACAGTGGATCAGATAGTACAGTTTATTTCCGTGTACGAATGACATCCTGTATGGCGATCTGCAAACCTTACATCTTTAAGTGCTTTGTCCTATATGTATATATGTATAGATACATTTATATGCATATGTATATAGCGCACCAGATTATAACAGCTGGATGACCGCATACACGTCTAAGCGAAACATAGTTAAATCAACAGTTACCTTTCGAAGCATAGTGCTCACGGTAATGACATCACCAAACCGGCTAATTTAATACCTTAGTTGCGGACTATGAGATTTAAAAATGCGTGTGTGTAAGCAGCATAACGGCGTTGGAAGCCACAGATATGGGAAGTATGGCAATGTGAGGTCACTAAATACGGGCTCACTTCGAGATCGATTCCTGCTGAATTGCGGGCAATCGAGTCTCCCTGGTGTACGAATTGATCGGACACGCAGCGTGTTAACTTCCGTCTGACATAAATGGATGAGTGTATAGCGTTTTTTGGCCGCTTGTGGCGGAAACTGAGGTGGAATGTCAGAGCTTTTTGGGTGGGTAGATTCAGATGACATACTCGACAAGGATATCTTGGAACTATCTTATTCCGCTGTCTGGTAATGGTTGGAGAAGGAGTGGGCAGTTTCACCTCAGGACTGATTCGTTCGTCTGTCACACTAGACGCTGGTTCGTTTCTAGACTGAAGTCTTGAAGTTGGTTGCTCATCACTTTGCTCCATAGAGTGATTCCAGGTTTCTTGCACCATCTCATCCGCGTTCTGTTTTATTTCCGTGTTCACTGGATTGCGCACTGACGTGCGAGTAGTTGCAATATCCGGGGAACTATACCACGCACTACCTCTTATGTCCGATTGTCGAGTCTGCTGTCGTCGATAATTCTTGTACTGATGAATGGTTCGGCGTGCTTCTTCTAAACTCAACGTAATCACCTCAGCCTCGTTGTCGTGTATTTGCTTGATATGCTTACGAACGTCCCACTTCCAATTACTCCTGTTGAAAAGGCGCAAACAAGGAATAGCAAGTCAAGTAACATCACGAAAACATACGTGAACTAGATGGATTAAAGGAGTTATCATAACGAAGGGAAAGCAGCAACGAGCCCCCAAAGCACCGAGCAGACACAAACGAGAAACACAGAAGGTGCCCATAAGGGCTCTCGGACGAGGAAGTCTTAGGCAATCGATAATCCAATGTCTATCTTTCCTTGCAATACATGTCTCCTGTTCTCACATTGACTGTGGGCACGTGTACATAGATCACAGCGCGTGAGAGGTGGATACCAAGCCTGCAGAACATATGTAGGGGTAATTAGTGAACGGCCCTGAACACATGGTTTTGCTAAGAGGTTCGTTGGTAACGGTGCATGCACTATGCGCATAGCATGAAAGACACTTATGGAAAATTAAGAGAATTAGTAGGGAATTATAAACAACGCTACAAAGGCGAATAGCAGAGGTGGTGGAAATCGATGAAGCAGTGGGCACATTGAAGCCTTGGTTGGTTGTCAGCTCGGAGAACGAATAGAGACTTCAACCGTCAATCCGAGCTATCGGTATTTAGACTCGTTGCTATGGGTACATCAACGCAATGAATGGGAAAAGCCGTCAAACGTGCAGCGAGTTGTCTTGAACCGATAACTTTAACAGCTATCGGCGGGCGGATGTAGGTTGGCGAGTGAAGAGAAACGGCATTACAACGATAAACGCATCAAAGGCTTCCATCGTAACAAGGCTGTAAGTTAACGTAATGCAACGGTTTGCATACCTCCGCGATTCAGCGAGTCACACTGGGTGGTAGTTCTCAATTGCGGGGCAGATCGATGGTTAACATCATCTTCACCGATGATCGCGGAAAGATTGATGAACACAGATCAAAACTTAGCCATTGAAAGTAAAAGTATACTCATTGTAAGCTCGGTGTGATAGACGTAGAACACGAGCGCAATACCTATTTCTGACGGTGGCAGGACGCCACTGGTTTGCCGCCTCCCGTTTCATACCAGGTAGCCCCTAGTAATTGGACTGTAAACCCACCAAATCCCATCTGCAGCCGGCCGTGTTCATGAATAAATACTCTACTTAGGCCCAAAGACATATGAATGATGCTGAAAATTCCATTGCTGCATTGGATAAGTCCAAGTTGATCCTAAATGTGGCTCTGTAGTAATGTTCTCATGCTGGACATGTTCCCAATAACTGGTATATCAGATTATTTAACCAAGGATTCTGGGTGGAATCAAAGACATCATAAATAAAAGCGCTCTAGTGGAACGGACGCTCTACAGTGTCATCCACCCATATGATACCAGTGCCAGTAATCTTGCACTTCCTTTAGTTTCAGCTCCTTTTGGCAAATCCTGTTCTCCTGTTCACTAACATTAGACCACTACCGGCTTCATAATTCGTGCTGTCAAATAAACTATGTCATCTTTCAAAGCTTCAAGACCACTTTAAATTGTTAGTTTTTCAATGTCCGCACGCTATCAGCCAACAGGCAACACTCGCAGTCAACGTGTGCTATCTCCGAAAGGCACATACGGAACATCATCCCAGTTCATTTGTGATCACCAAGCTCGGGTACAAATGATGGGGACTACACAATTTGCTTATAAGTGATGCCGAATCCGTAGCTCGTGATACTTACGGCGTCGAAATCGTTGTTAGTGGCTGTACTGAGGTTTGTCTTCTAGTGAACAGATATTAGTGAATAGCCGCATATGTCAATGGAACAGAGAAATAATGCTAACATTGCGGACAAAAATGCATATGCTTAGCCAGTCCCGTAGGATGGCCAGAATGAGAACCACAATATGGCGAATAGAAAATAAAGGGATAAAATGAAAATCGTGTCATTCGACTTTGAAACATGGTTGGAGCTAATAAACAGCGACCTGAAGCAAAGTACCTTTTGTTATTCACTTCATGCATCCACTGACTGTAGACCAGAAGCCGTTAAAGAGAGATTCCGTAAGCAACTCTCTTCAACCAGTCTAGCGCGGAATAATTGCCCGGGTAGGTTTTATAGCAGTGTAAGAACATCGCATCGGTGGCCGTTCCCGGATTAACGCTTGTGACACCGACAATGATAACAGCTTTCTTCACCTGTGTAACGGTCACACGAGCGCGCGCATCGAGTTACATGCGGAGCACTGAGAAACAGTCTACTCTGGATTCAAATTGATAACGTCACCATCAGTTATAGCGTTGATCAGTTTGTGTGACACGGCTTATACAAACGCTCATTTGCCGCCATTCCTTATAGATTTACTGTGAATTTACAGTTTAGAATGCGTATACCTCGGTCAGTCCACCGGTGTAAATTTGCATTTTGTTTGCAGCTTTTTAGTATTTTGAGGTATTCAACCTGACCACCATACCGGACCTATTAAGGTTTAGCTATTTCACCCGTAGTAAATCATCGTCGCATTGTCCTATTGTCAGTCAATGCGACCATGCTGTTTTGAGTGGCTACATAATGTTCGCTTTGTTTGCCACGTCGAAGTGCTTAATTTCAAAGATCCTGACTGCTCAATGTATTCGAAATCCTCGAAGCGGGGACATCATTCTAAATTGTTAAATTAGTTTTTATTGTTTATGAGATAGGCGAATCGGATGCTTATTGAAATCGGTTCTTTGGATCATTCAAAGAGCAATCGAGATCGCTTATCCATCCGGCTGGAATGGGGTAAATAGTGAGTACTGTTTTAAAGATTCGAGCAATTATATTTAAGCATGACAGACAGTTTCCTCAAACTAACAATCCAAAATTGCTGGTAACACTTTGAAGAGTCATCTAAGAGTTTGAGAGTTAACCGGGGTCGATGATAGATCAGCAGGACTAGCGGAATGGATATGTCCAGCGCTATTGAGAACACCAGAGAGTTGTTTCAACTAGTTCGACGCAGTGGTTCGGGAATGGTTTCCGTGACCGAGGAAACCATTGGAAAAGATGGACAAAAGACAAGTCGTTCGTTCCAATTCGTTCTAAATAGTTCATAAGGGAGACAGCTCTCAGTTTGACTGATCACCGTTGAAGTGTTATCCGCTTATACGCGATTTTTATTTTTAAATTTGTGTTACATACCAGTTATACTTTTGTTAATCACGATCTTCCAAGTGCATCATGTTTCTTTACCTCTCTAAGCATTGCTACCTTATTACTTTTTGTAACAATCCTCCTAAACGTTCACCTGATTAGTCATACTTTCATTCCGCCAGGAATTATAGCAGAAGTTATTAAGGACCAGTTTCATCATAGCAACGTCTCTACTCGCGTTCGCAACATGAGTTCTAAAATTCCTGCTCGTGTACAGCTTATTAGATAAAATTCTTGCATGGTCTCAAGGAAGCGACTGACTCTGATTACATTGTATTATATTCTTTCTTGATTTGTAGAAAGTGCTCGATCAAATCCCACACAAAAGACTATGGTGGAAATCGACTAATTTTCGGATATCAAATCTGCTTCTTTCCTGGACTTATCTAACAGGACGCTCGCAGGTTGTCAACAAAGGTGGATTCATGTCAACGCCTCAAAAAGCTACCAGTGGAGTGATTCGAGGAGGCGTTATGGACCACCTTCATTTCTTATTGTACATAAACTATTGTATACTCTTTGTGCTACTTTGTGTGAACCAAAGTAGGTTGTGTGTATGCCCTGGTGATTTCAATATGCAACCCAAGCAGCGCGTAGCAGACAAATCTACAAGCCACAGTGAGCTGGGCACTAGCGTGGCAAATGTGGTTCACTACATCGAAATGGAATACCTTGATTTATGGACCATCTAAAAGCTAGTTGACTTCGACTTCATTTTGTACCGAGTACGCTTGTATCAAAGAGATATGGTTGAGGTATTCCAATTCCCTGAACTTCAATAAAGATGCAAAATTTATTTTAAGAAAAAACAGCAAATAATCGAGCATATGTGGCGGTTACTTATGCTGAAAATAATCGGACTCATGGCTAATAAAAGCATCAGGTTTAGTAATGCATGTAAAGGTGACTTGTAGACCACAGAAAATGTTCGAAATGATTTCACCAAATGCGTCTATCGCTACTCCACAGCATTTTTCTGGAACAATGTGTAATGGGCGCAAATTTGAGCCCTTGTGGTTGTTCAGATCATCATTGGATCTGTGATCCCTACATTAATCTATGCGATAGAAGCACACAGTGTAAGCTGCACTTTACAAATAAGGTTAAAAAGCATACATGGAATACGTAGAACGGTTTGTATGGTCTTAGGGTCAGAAATCAAGGTCATAATTAACAGAACCTTGGTTGTATAAGGTTAAGCCTTATTTGGAACAGGCTACCTAGATATATAAGATGTACAGAAAGCTTATTTGAATCCACTGATACCTGATACCTGATACTAAGAAAACTGAAGCAAGAATCTAAAATTTCCTATAAACGCTTACAAGTTGTGTGAGAAAAAACTTAATCATAGAGGAATCAAAGAGTACATGGGTTGTATTTTGGCGAGGAAGGTAAGTCAGTAACAAGAACTGTAGCAATGAAAAAAGTAACACAAAGGTTATCAACAAAATTTCGGCTGGAAGTAAAACTTAAAATTTTCTTTAGGTTGCAGATGTCTGTGGCAAATACCTCTGTACATACACGAATGGTAGCTGAATGGTAGTTCATCGTTCTTTCTCAAACCGTCTTTATTCTCTATTCGCATGTTCGTAATTTCGACGCTCTGCACATTTCCTTTTTCCTTTTATATTATTCACTTCCTCTTCTTATGCATGCTTTCCTAATTAATTCTCCCGTACTCTGAAACATCAAACTTAGTAGGCCCAGTTTAACTGTATAAAGAGTTTTTTGAATGCTCCATTTCTCCACCTAATACTAGCTGGATAATGAAAAATGTATGAAATCGTGATTACTCTACCTTTTTTACTCATTAGGCTCGTCCCATAGGTGGAATTCGGAAACCCAGTATGCATCTTCTATTACATAACTTTAATGTGGTTCTGCGCTCAAATAATTAGTCCTGCTCGGAAGTTATCTCTTGAGCGTTTTGTTTCCAATACCATCAAAAATGCTTTCACACTTCCCCGGCGACTCTTTCTTTCATCCCCAAGCCCCCGTTGGGAGCTACTGTGGGGTCAATATTCCTTACGAAATGAGCTATAGAGGATGAGTATGTCATATGTTGTCAGCTTTTCTGGCGTAAGTGAATTCGACCAGCGGTCTACTCTAAAGGTTCCAGTAGCTTGGGAATTGGTAAACAGCAATGAAAATTACAATTCCACTCAGTGACAGCATTAAGTGAACTTATAAGATGATTTGGCTATTCCCCGTATTTGTTGTACGGTTGGTGGCGTTTAAAAATTCACTTATTTATCTAAAATTGTACTTGTTGACTATACCGTTCGCAACAAGTTTCTATCGAATTGTAATATGTCTGTTACAAGTGCATAACCTGTCTTCACAGACTTGCCTCGTGTAAAATCGGGTGGACAACACGTGACATCTATCTGCTTCATAAATTAGTAACATTATTATTAGTATTACAAGACTGTCCACAAGTCGCCAACTTTCATGACTGTGAAACAGCTGTCCGAATCAATCGGTGTATTTGCTTACTTAGTAGTTGTACAGATTCTGGTGATCGAGTATTACACGCATTCCTATGACTTTATGAATCCCCGATCATGTAAGAAGATAGCGGGATGAAGTCGCTTGTTTAAGGGAATTATTTACAGAGCTGATGTGCGGCCAGCGTTAGCCTGTGGATCAGAAGATTGGCCGTACACGCTGAAGAAATTGTAGAGATTGGAAATGAATAAGGAAAGCAACAGTTCGTCGTCTGATGATTGGCAATACGCCCTCTGGTGCCTTGGTGGAGGGTCCACTGAATTCGAGTTGCTTTCGGTAACTCGGGCATATGCTCCGCATCTCAACAAACCAGCAACCGCGGCATGTGCCGATTGCCATTAGTGCACTTAGTTGGGTAAAACTGCAAGGTGGCCAGTTAATGATATGGTTGATAAGTGTGAAGAAGCTGACCGAAAGGCTGAGTCATTTTGGTGCTTGTGAAGTTCTCGGATAGATTCTTCGAGATCTGACACGTCACGGTTAAATACTCTGTCGGATAGAAGACGACTACGAAGCCATTTAATCTCTTGAATTTTTTCTGTATTGCTATTTTAACTATTTCACCTGGTAGTTATGTTTCTTGCTCATTCTTTACAAATCAGTGATATTAGTATTACTTTGAAAAGATGAGTGGAGATGAATCGACCGAGGCCACAATTGGGATTGCGTGTCGCAATCCAAGACACACGGCGGGTGCTTCAAAACCCCGAGAATCAAAATGTGTCAAGGCAACTTACTTCACCGTATATCGAGGTGCAAGTCTTAACTGATAACCTTAACTGAAATTGCGTGTAAATGGTTTCCATCTTCAACCACACTCGACCGCCACATAAGATGGCGCCTCGAGGATTACGCTGTGCTGACTTGATTATCATTGCATTTAGCTACAAACAACAATTGAGCACTGGTTAACTTAATCTGACGAAACCTCCATAAGAAAAGTGATAAGTTGCCCAGCAATTACGCCAACTGATTCATTGTTGATTAAATTTGGAGTATCCGTTTGGCTGGTGGATTGAGAGGTGCGATCCTAGTTAGGACCACAAGTTGAACCTTAGCCAGTTCGGTCACTAAAAACCTACCTTGTGCAGATAAATGTCGGGTGGTGCGTATTGCAATCAGTTTACCTAACGAGCACTACATCACGAACGAACAATGGGTCCCTAATTATTGTGGCAAGCATTGCTCGTGGAGTTGGATGGTGTGGAGCTAAAAGCGTTGTCTGACAGTCTTTATGCCCTTTCTATCTATCCATCACCTGAAGAGCACAAACAAGTTATAAAAAGTGATAGTGGAATGTGGAGTTTGGAGTAAGCAGCCCTTAAAGCTTATTCAAGCCAACCGATTATTTTAAAAGATTAATAAAGTCGTGAAGTGAAACGTCCTTAGAAAATTCGGCTTGGTAAAACTACTAGTGTAGGAAGATTATCGATTGAAACACCGAAAATATTCCGGTAAACTCGACCGTACACTAAAATAAGATTGTTGTGGTTCGATTTAAATAAATATACACAAATTACCTGTGTCCGCATGTGGAACATTGATAAGGTCTATAATAGCCTTCAACTGGCTGCCCAAAGGAGCTTGCAGCGGTACCTCCAGATCGCCAGGAAAATTGTTCAGGAGCTCCCTCAGCCACATCATTTAGATAGCGATTACGCGAAAGCTTCAATCGGTTCATATATTCACCAAAAGTTCGTTTGGCCTCCTCTATATCCAAAGTCACTGTTGTAATGCTAGTTCTTTCCGGATGAGCCACCTGTGAGATTGGGAGTTAAGCGATACAATGTATAAATTCATGCTTATTCAATTGGTCAAATTCTTCATAGGATGGGTAGATTATAGGTGGATGAAGCACCGGGTGAGCAACATGGAATTCCGCGTTAACGTTTGGAAAGAACCGCTGTGAGTGTCCGCTTACGTTTACTACTCATGGGGGCGCACATTATACACCGTCGCTAGAATTATTTGGGCGAAACCGTGGAGTGAATAAGGACTGATGTGGTAAGAAAGCATGGGGCACTTGGTCGAAAAGATTGGCAGAGTTGATAAACCCTGCCTTCGTAGATTGGGTTCTCAGAATCAGTCACATGAGTCATTGGATGCCTTGTTCGATGTGACGCAGTTGCATCCGATCTCTTGTACGTTGTTGTTAACATCCCAACCGGATTAACTTCGCCAATCCCCATTCCCTTTTCTTGCGATTTTATTTGTGTTCTACCGCATGTTATCAGTATTCTTAATTACCGTTATCCCGGTGAGGTACCATAGCAAATGGATCCACTGTACCTCGATGTATAGAGTCCAGTTGTTTAGCGTAAGAAAAATGACAGAAACAAATGCATTGCTTTGTTTCAATCCCACGAAAATTCTTATTTCTGCAGTGTTTAAACATCAAAAACCAGATCGTCCACTTGAATCGAGGTTAGCTGCTTAAGGAATCAATCAAATGATACAACAAGCCATATAATTAGTTGACAATTTGAGGATTTTTGAGCCATTCTGAGTATCGGTTCGGGCGAATTCAGTCAAACAGTCATCAAATGTCAAAAAATGAACTAGACGGTCGTTTTGTCACATTAGGGCTCATCAAAGTGCGCATCTAGCACAGAGCCTACGGCACTCAAACCTACGTTCGTCCTCTTGCAGGACTGAAACCTAAGACACTGAAATAGGAGCGGCTGCGGCCGGTTAGCATGACGGATTAAGACAGACGAGATGACAAAGCTCGATTACGTAAGAAAGAAGCACAAGCCCGACCTCAAGGAGAGACAGGGGCATGGTTGACAACTACATACGCGCGAACGCAAGTTCCCTAAAAGTGAACCGTTCCCATCATCTATTGACCGATAAGGAGGTTCTTCCCCTTTAAAGATGGAGTTGCTTTTGTTGCGTTGGTCAGATGTTGTGATATATCGCTCACGACGGTCATATAAAGTGCCAAGGTTTTGATACCCAATGAGTACTCTAAACACTACGGTAAAGTTTGGGTTCTATGCTGCTAGAGTTCCAAGAGAATTCGCCACAGTTAGATAAGGTCAGAGAACCACTGCAATGAATCACAAAACCCAAAATGGTCATTTCGACCTACTGGGACTCAGCAATCGTGCGCATTACCCTGGAAACCTGTGAAATACAACTGCAAGATGTGCCTCCTGTGGAGCATAGATTCTATCCGTCATATTATGAATGGTAGTGAGGGTGAACATGCCAAATACCCGTGTCGCAGTGCTGCGATTCAAAGGAACAAACTGTTTAGGGTTTATTATGACACAGTGGGTTATTTGACATGCCTCATTTTTAACACCTGCTATGTGTGGTTAATTAGGTTCGGTTCTCTCGAAAATCTACCCAGCTAAACTATTGTGGTTCCCCATTATCTAGTATGTTTGACTGGCAAATTTCAAATTTCCACTGACGCTGCAAAATGAGATCTGGGTGGAAGCTACTGGAAACATGATGGAAAGTAGTTGGCAGTAGCATGGGATGGTATAGAGCATAAGCGTGTAGTCGCGTACATGGGTACCATAGTACAGGCTCAAACAAACCCGTGAATTGATAGGGGCCACAACAAATTTGCGGCTTCCGCCAGGTGAAGTTAAACAGCTGAACTGAACAGACACAACCTCAAGTGGCCATCGAAGTTTTGGCAAGTGTAGTAGGCCTATTGCGTGACGATATACACATGCCGTGCATATAGTTTCCGAATACTCCAGTGTCATCAGTAGTATAACATATATTTGAAACTGCAATTCACATAAACGAATGTGGGTGCATCTTGGACGTTGAACGTGGTGCGGAGTAACGCCAAAGATGGAAGTCCCCGTTCGCCATAAAGTTAGATGAAGCTAATGTTAAGCATGTTTCCTGCAAAGAGAGCAGGAGGCTTCGAGGGGTAATATAAATTGTACGAAACCTGTGAGCCATCCTAATTTGGGAAGTAATCAACTTCCACGCGTTTCCGTGCACTCGCTTATCAACGCAAATGACAACATTTTTTTCCTTTAACTCCATGAAAATGACGTCTGCTCTCCCACCCCCACCTCTGCAGTGGAACCGTTCCGAAACAGGTTAACGCTCAAGCTCTTTTTGTGGGACACTTCAATTTGCATGCTCTAGTGGTTCCGGTCTCGATTGGAGAACAGGTTAAGGCCGAAGTGCAAGAATTGGTCGCCGGCTTACCAATTCACAATCACGTTACTTCCCCAACGAGATTCAGAACGGGGAACAAGCCAGCCATTTTTGACCTCATCTTTACCAGTGAGGAATTGATAATAGACACAGCAACAGTTAGTAGCCCCTTGGGGCGCAGTGATCAAGCAACACTGCTTTTTCATCAACGCCTGCTACGGGGAACAGTTCAACGGGACATAGAAGAGGTCCGCATAGCAACAAATCACAACATTTCATATGACCACATCACGATCACTTATTGGTCGTTTCTAACAGTACAACCACCTGATATCGCTTGGGGTAGGTTTGTCAATCGATTTAGCACTCTGGTATTAAATCCATCAGAGATTAAGAACCTTAGTACAAAAAAGGTGAAGCACTTCCTGAGGCGTAGGGCGCGGAAACGAATGACCCTGAGAGATTCCCTTTAAAAAGCACAAATCTGATATAGGCGCCGGAAACTGTAATGCCTACATAACCGGGCGAAACCACTGTGTCAAACTTTTCCGCGAAGATAAATTGTAACCGACAGGATTTGGTGAAAATATTCTACTACAATCCCAAGCTACTTTCCAAGCATGTTAACAAACTTCGTAAAGTGCAGCGTGGCATTCCGCCTCTAAGCACCGTCTGTGGGCAGGCGTAAACTGCCTAAGAAGCAGCTAACGCCCTTAGATATTAATTTGCTTGTACGATTCAGAAAGCACCGCTATCTCGTAATATCCTAACATATATCATGTGACCACCAGGATTTAAGCACCTCTTCTTCACGGCCTCGGATGTGCTGGAACAACTGATGTCACTACACAAGTAGAGTTCACCTGGTCCTAATGACATACGACCCGATTTCCTGAAGATAGCTGGCTACGATGTTAGCTTAACCGTTATCTCCGTTTTTCCAGCGCTGTGTCGATGAGATGCAGGTGTGAACTATATGGAAGCATGGAATAATCACCCCCATTTACAAGGGAGGCAATCGTGGTGTGCCCGAAAATCACCGCCCCAATACTCTACTTCCTGTGTTTGCTAAAGTTATGGAATCTGTCGTTGCAGGTGCACTTCTGGGTTATCTAGAAAGGTGTCATATCATCATGAAGGAGCAGCATGGATTCGGCCACAACCGCTTATATACGATGAACCTGTTTTTTTCCGTGCCAGCTAGACGGAATCGTCGATGGGTAGCAAATGACTCTTCGTGAAGTAAAAAGTCAAAATCTGGGCGTCGATCAGAAATCTATCATTCATAGAACACAAGCGCACTTTATATCACCAATCAACTAGAACCATTCAGTGAGGTAGAACACAGCTCTTTGCTATTACATCCTTGGTCAGCGTGCGAACTTCGTCCATGTCAATCTAAATGGATTACCTATTATCCTTCAGCTAGGCTCTGCAGCGATCGAGGAACTTTCGGACTTTTGGCACCAAATCCTTAATCTCGACCGTTCGAGAAACAAGCTTTATGCTCAGTGTAGCATCACACCACCACAATGGGGAAGGAGTCGAGGCCGCCTAGCTCGACTTATGGAAAGCGTTTGATCATCTAGACCACCGCATTTCTTTAAAAGCTTCAGAGCTATTGAATCGGTGACGCTGACCTGAGCTGGATACATTCTTTCCCACTGCAACGCCGCTTGAATGTGAAAGTTCGTAGCGTTCTGTCCGACCCGACAGAGGTTCACTGTGGCGTTCATCAAGGTTAGGGACTAGGACCACGATTATTCTTAGTGTTCACAAAAGCCTAACTTTCTACTCTTTGCAGACAATCTCATAATTTGGCGGACAATCAAGCGAGTAAACGACCACATAGCACAGCAAGGCGCTCTCAACAAGGCTCACAAGTGGTCCGCTCATAATGTGCTTGAGTTTAACCCCCATCAAATGTAAAATAATGAGCATGCACCACCAGAACATATACGAACATCGACTGTGAGAACACGTCTTGCAGCGTACGGCTTTTGAAAGTGATCTCGAGGTGCCCGTATAAGTCGATCTCGGATGTTCAAGACAGATTGAGAAAGCAGTGAAAATGCCAACCAACACTTAGGTTTGCTGCGGTAGGCGTTTGGTCGGTCTGATCCCACCATTTTTTCACAAACCCTGAACGCTTACGTGAGGCCATATGTAGAATAGGCCATCCAGGTGTGGCACCCTCGGCAAAAATCTGTCCTCACTGCTCTTGCGAAGCCACAGCGATGGTGACAAAATATGTGAAGGATTTGCTCTACCTGCCTTGCCAGTTTCTACCAAAGACTCTAGGAGCTTTCAGCGAACAATATCGTCTTCTGAGAGGCGATCTCATATTTGTGTATCAGATTCTCAAGGATCCTATTCATCCCCATGCCGACCACTATTGAATCCCAGCCAGAATACATCACTGAGAGATGCCACCCCGGTTAAAGTTACCCACATAGTACAGCCGGTTGGAATGTCACCGGAACGTTTCTACCATTCGAGTATCCTAGCCGTGGGACTTACTTCGCATTCCGTCATCGCTCCTACATTAGTGGAATGTAAAACCCGACTTGATGATGCACTACACCGCTTTCATTACATGATTCAACCCAATTATCTTGGACACGGTGCGAAGTAACCAAACTATGTTTTCACGTAAAATCTGCGGTAAGTGCACTGCTACGCGCTTTTCTTGATAAATTCATTTTTGATCTCTCTCTCTTTACCTACAAGAATTGTTAAGTGTACTGCTTTTTATCCGTTATAAATGGATTGTTCAATTGTTCCATTGGATGGCAATGGCCAACGTGAAAGCAGATATCCGGATACATCAGTTTGGAGTTTATTGACTATCACTTTTAAGCAACGAGTTGTAGAAGGGCTAGTGTCCACAATGATAATTAGCAGTACGGCACACCACCCAGTGTGCGAACGTGATCTGATAGTCATAAGTGGACAATTCCGTGTTCAAAGAAAACAAGGTTACGCTTACCTGTTTCTTCATAGTGGAGAGTGGGAATTATAAATTCGTCGGAGCAACTTTAATGATATCTATCTACTCATAAGAAGCGGGTTGACGTAATTAATTAGAGGGTCCTTCATAGCAGCTTTCAAGTCAGATAGTCCAGCACACGGTGGGAAAAGCACTAGACGGCCGGTTTGTCCTATCGGGACTCAGCACTAAGCGCATCCATCGGCTCTGACAGACACCGAACCCATGACCGGTGGTTGCTTACGCCACTGACCTGCACTTTATGTCACTAGACCATAGGAGACGGTGGTGCACCGTCATTACTTGCAAGCTATGTGCCAGTTAGCGCAGTGCACGCCGTCCTCTATGGCCCAAGGGCATAAACTGCTGGCCAATGGAACAAGCCGCCAGCGGTCACGAGTTCGGCTCCTGATGGAGTCGATTTTTGCGTTTTAGTGACCTGTCCTGATGGGACGAAACAGTTTTCGTTTTTCAAGCTTGGGGACTACGTCTGACTTAGAATCCATTGCGGAGATCTCAAAATTATTTACTACTCTCTGTTTGTTAGTAGTCCGCCTATACCCCACATTCGTTCGACACGAAGTAAGACCGATTGGTACAGATGGCCATTGTTATCTGACGAACTGGCCGGTTTCTATCTTTTCCTTCGTCTTGATTGGATCGATTTCAATGTATTCCTGGATATCAGTTTATATGACACAAATATTCAGACGCTTTAACGTACCAACTGAATGAGCCCGCGGTGTTTAAACTAAAATTGTGAAGTATTTCCGGATCAAATTTCAAATTCCTTTGCCTATTAGTAAATATCCTTACCTCGCTTTATAGTAACTACTATGAAACCATGGTAATGCTAGCACAATGTGTTCTACCCACTGCCCAGAATTCCTACAGTCGACATAGTACGCTCAGATAAGTACTGTCAGTTTGCACTTAGTTATTTCCACGGTAACAAAGGGCGTTAATAGGAAGCATGGCCACATCGAAATATGGCCATCACATCGTTAGAAGGATAAAAACAGCGGTTTAACAAAGGAATAAAACCGACCTTGATGTGTTTGTTAATATCCCACTTCCAATTGGAACGATGCCCACATCCCGAGCATTGGTGCCTCTTCCATTGCTCATCCTTTGATCCGATGCTGCCAGTCGACAAGCGCTCTCCATGCCGAAGCTGCCCCGATTTGCGGCCCCGCCTGGCACGCTGTGTATCTCTCTGTTCGAGGAACGGAGAAGATACACCCGAGCTAACTGGAACAGTTGCGTTGGACGATAAATCCATTGTTTCGGATTCGGCTAGTCCAGTGGGGACACACAAACTCCCACTTGAAAATTTCGACGCATTTTTAAGCATGTGGGTCTGCAGATCAATTAGATCTTGCTTGGCTACTCTTTCATGTTCTGGCGGCGCACTGTGCCGTATCCACGGCGCAGTGGATAGAAGGATCGGGTCAACTTTTGCAAACGGGAACGCAGTAGTATCCACTTGTGGTAGCGGTTGTGAATCGATAGATGTGGGTAGCTGTTGGTAGTGCTGGTGCCATGTTTGCATGAGGCCGTTCATGAACCACTGATTAAACAGCACGCTGACAGCCGGGGTCGCTGGCACGTCTGGGTTGTCACCGTTCATTGCAGTGACGCATGTCGGTGGGACCGGCCATCCCATTGAATCGTAGTTACTAACAGTGGGAAGGCAAGGTAAGACTGTGCTGATGGTCCGTGCATGTGGATGTATTGGTTGTGCTGGTGGTGGCGGAAGTTCAGTGGATGTGGCAAGAAATGGTGAACGACGCTGCATTTGGGAAACCGCAGAGTTAGTCATGTAACTTGGAACACCAGGAAGTGAAGAAAGGACTGTTTTGTTGGCATCTGTAATTTCACACGTCTGAATGAGCTGTGAACAAGAAAAGAGAAAGAGGAAATGTGTCGTATCCTTGACATCGTAGCTGATGTTGCAACTCGGTCACGAATACAAATGTACCCCTACAGGTGTCGCATGCAATAAGCTAGCACCGTATAGTTTGCGTGCACAGCTTTCTTGGGTTGTCTGGGCAGATGCGAAAACTGGGTGCATGTGAAAGATGACGTGTTTACACAGATGGGCCCCAATAGTCTAACGACGAGGATTAACCTCACAAAAGTGACAACATGCATGTTCACAACGAGCTTTGACAACATGCAGAATGGGATAAAACCAACTTGTTGAATTCGTTCTGAAAAAGAGTACGATATGGTAGTTAGGATTTAATACGCTTCTGTATTATCTACTCAAATCATCATGAGGAAGAGTTTAGAACTGAAGAGACAAGTTTGGTATGGTAACCATCGCCAGTAGCTTAAGGTTAAACTTGTATTAGTCTGCGCATCACACCCAGTCCCATAATGCGAGGTTGCAATTATCCTTAATTTCTAAACAAGTCTAGCAGAAACTATTGTGGTGATTAGTTGAAAGATGGAATAGTGAAGAGGTGTGATGTAGCAATATAGTCCATATAAGCCACTTGAATCCGTTTACACACAGTAGAATAAGCATTCGCACCCAGTCGGCTGATGAGTTCCGGGCCTCTGTTTCGATTCTGCACAAGTAACATTGACCAACGTGCGACAATACTTAGGTTAAAAGACTGTGTGCTGTTGATGAGTTCAAAGAGGACAAAATGAATGCACAGTTGCACTCTAAAGGTCCGACTGCCGTGTGAGTGGATCTGATTGGAGTGACTTCAACTTAAAGAGATGTGGGCTAATAATCATAGAAGTAAAGGCTGCTTTGTCAAAAGATCGGGTTGTTGAAAAGTCGGCTAGGTAGATGGGGCACAGTTCCTAGCGAGTTAACTTGTGATTAACGTGTGTACTCCCCAGAAAGGGGTTCAACGCGACTAAACTCTGGTGGGTACATACAAGTGGACAGTAGAAACTGTGGTGTGGTCCTCCAAAAGTCAAAAAATGCGGACAGCAGAGAATTTGTACCGTGGATACTTTCCAAACTCTATTCTAACGTAGCGGCATCTCGTTGATTGCTTCTCGTTGCCGTATCCTAGGCCGTCAGCCTAACTTAATCAGTGCCCCCATACTGTTCATCCTCTGTGCTCGGGCGCAAACCCTCACCTATCCTGTTTGGAGCCATGTTGATCATATCACTAGGCCGCGCCGATTCGGCGCTGTTCGTCTGGTGCGTACGATTCTGATAATCCGGTGTGTGCGGTAGTTGATTCGCTTTCTGTCCACCGGTCACGCGTCGGCTCCGTTCATCTAAACTGTCGGCTAGCAGTACGCAGAACACAGCCCTGAAAAGTGCCTGTATGAAACACACTAAAGTTACCTCCCAAAATATAGGTGAAGCTGGTGTCATTATTTAATGAAACCCAATCAAGAAGTTGATGATCCACACGGTGTAACAGACGACTAAACCTTGCGCCCGTTGGATGCAATTCGATAGTGTTATAGACCACTTTAAGAGATCATTGGAGAAACATGATTGCCCTAGGAAGGAATTCGAAAGCTCTATGAATGCAATTGACCGAGAAAAGGTATGACAGTTACAGTGAGACAAATGTGTCTGGGCAGCGACACACTTCGAGAGGCCGACTAAATGTTGGTGAAAATTAGCGGTCCCGCCCGGTCCGTTGCAAATAACACAGTATTCGACGTCGAGAATAATATGTGGCGCCTTATGGGAGTTTGCATGTTTGCAAAAAACCGTTCGGGTCCTGTGCACACTGTTCAAACCACACTGTCGTTCCGTTACAAGTCACGTGTCCGTGCGCAAATTCGTATCCGACTCCGTGTGCGCAGGCCGTGTGATTGAACTAAATAACCCGAAGTTTCCCTCGCACAGAGTGGTACATTCGGTCGTGACGTAACAGGTCACGTTTCACGCTGTTTTTGGCACCTCTACGATCAATCCTTGATGATTTACACCATAAGTATGCTGGTGCAAACCAGTAAAAGCGTTTCCCTCCAAAGGTTGGCTCCCTCTCTTGCTGGTTCGCTGTGTGGTAGTTTCGTTTATGGAGCTGCTCTGGTGGAAGGCCTTCTTCATCTCTCAGTCAGTAATTACGGGTTACAAGGCATTGGTTGATCGGAATTTCGTTTGATAAGTCTGCACCTATGGGAAAGCGGTTTCATTCGAGAAGGAATGACTTGACAGAGCAGTTTGTGAGATGCTTCGTCTAAACACCAATCTCTAACTCCCACTGGTAGAAAGTACTTGATATAGAGAAGACTACTGAATGGTGAGGCGTAGAAAGCAACTAAATCGATTCACACACCAATATTAGAGAGGAAAAGTGGCATATACAACCCTTAGAGCTGGTTACCAGATGTCTATATGTATGTGCATATACGTATGCACATATATAACCACCGAGACTGAACGAAACACAGAGAACGCTTCCTCAGCTGCAAAACGGTGAGCGTGAGAGTGCCGATGGAATGCCGTCGCCAACACTGAAGAACAGCGGGCCCGCAACGCTGCGCTCACTAGATCATTTGGTGGAACACCTCTGCATCGAAGAACGCGTATCTGATGAATCGAAAGGTGTTATTGTGGAGACAAAAGAATTGGATTATGCCCCAATTATTCTCGTGGCATTAACCTGTTAAGCTGTGTTGGAAAGGTGATCACCTACATCCTACTCAACTGCCTCGTCACTCACGTCTCCGAACCAAACGTGGCGGAAAAGCAGTCGGGCTTTCCTTCGGACAGTGGTATAATTGAGATGATGGTCGCGGCGCGGCAACTGTACCGGAAGCGCCGTGAGTAAAAAGAATCCTTGCACTCCGTCCTCATCGAATTTAAACCATTTGACACAGTAAATCGTGAGGCACTACGCTAGTGTTGCGTTGTATTAGTACAGATGTCTTGGCAAGCATAGGCATCAAAGAAACGCATGCACAGTTGTACGTTGGAGATAATGCAGCTGCATGAACACACATCGGATGATTTGATGTTGTCTTCTGTGAAGCAAGGTTGCATTTAGGTCCTACGAAGTTCAATATTCGGCGAACTGTCATGATGTATTGTGCATTCAATACCCGCGACTATAGTGTTCGCATCGAGCACCGCATTGATGGTTGGTCTCTGAACATCATTAGTTTCGCGACAAGAACCCGAGTGCACAAGACAACCATCTGAATGCTGTTGTTGGCTGACGACTGCGCATTTGTTGCATACATGGAAGATGAGTTACAACGGATGACGATGGCTCTGGTTCTAACGACGGTAAGGTTCGGACTCACCAGCAACACAGATAAGACTGTTTGTCGCTGTCACTAATCACCAGGAATGGAATCCGCAAGCTGCTTACAAAGGAAGATCGCCGACGAAGTTTCGTATGACTCATCAAGATTTTCTACCTAGGTAGCAAGCTGTCAACAAACAAAATACCTACGAGTTAAGCACCTCAGTATCGAACGTGAGTGAGGCCTTCGGTAAGCTGGAATGCCATGGCTGGAAGAATCATCAGGTGACCGTTGGGGGCAGCGGAAAACAGAAGCTACACTGGAAGGATATTCCGTATCTGGCGAGACTCTAGTAACAATACCTGAGTTGGATTCTGTGCATATTTTGGTGCGACAGAGTTTCTGACACGGAAATAACTCGCCGGAGAGGCATGTAAAGAATATAAGGTGGTACTGCGACAATTAAAGCAGCTCGGATATATCCGCTATATGGATGCTACTATAACGCCGACAAAAGTGCTGTATAACCAACTGAGTGCAAGTAAGCAGAAGCGGTACTGCCAGAAAATGATTAAGGAGATTTTGTCGTGGACTAATGTGTACTTTCGGTGCTGGGACCAAATGGGGGTGGAACACCGACAACGACGGGGTCACATCCACAACGCCGTGACCCAGGTGCGCGGCAAAGGACAATTTCACCAGGGAGAAAAACACCGGTTACGCAACTGACATGTGCCGAGAGAGCCCACTTCGTCCACGTTATGCACCTTGGCGCAGTGGCACTGCGTTCTGTGTGCCTCTGCCAAGCCGATCTGATAAGCCATCAACGTGGCCACGAGGAAACCTATATTAGAAATCCAAATTTTGTGTCAGCGCAGCAAACGTACGCTGCTTCTGATCTCATTTCTCAAACCAAACCGGCAATGCTGTAGAATAATGAATGCCGAAAATAGAGAGCTAGAGGAGAAATATCTGTGTTGCTCCATCGATCTAATATCGGGCACACACGCGAGTAGATGTGACCCACGTGCTTCAACCTCACTGTGATTGGAGTGTGTATATAACTATTTGTGTTGCCGTATGTTCATAGCGCCTGTTGATTGATATCTCTGGTCTGGTTGCACTTGAGGCGAAGGTTAGCAAGGTGCCAACCTGTCGAGTACCGCCAACTTAATTACTGGTTCCAGGAGATAGATGCGAGTACCGGCATACACAGTCTTGGTGACAATGCTAGGTTCAAAGTGTTGCTCTGTCCAATTTAGAATGAGCTACGGCTTAGCAACCAATTGTAGAGATGTTGTAGGCATGATTTCCCAGATTTCATATGAATGGTGTGCAGGCTGATGGAGTGCGGGTGGATTCCGAAGCGATGGTGGCGCCGATCCACATGCCTCTCCATCTAATTCGTTCGTGCTTTTTTGATGAAGATTTGTCGCAGTTAGACTCAGGCGGACAGCCAGCACACATCCAGGAAAGCGCTAGACGACCGTTTCGTCCTATTAGGACTCATCAGTAGCGCGCATCCACCGAATCCTGCCAGATTCGAACCCACAACCTTACTTTTACGAGCGAGGGACTAATGCTACAGAGCCATGGGTGACCGCAGCGGACCGTCATGACTGCTATCCAACCGCGATAGAACGCGGCTCAGCCTCCACTGTCTTGCAGGTTATGAACATGCAGGGGACAGGGCTGGCCCCAACAGTAACGACTTCGGACTTGTACTGAATGCGGGTGTGTTGATGGAGCTGTGGGTAGTGTGGTATAAGCCACCCCCGCCTCTCACGAGACGCAGGCGTCCTGTGGCTGTTCACATTGACAAGGACTGTGACAGGTAAATCCGGAAGCAAATGTTGCCAACACATCTAACCTTTGACAAGTAATAAAATGACTAGTGCGGCGGTACCACAAGCAGCGGAAAAAGAGGAATAAATGGAAGGAAGAGGCGAGTTTCGTAGTCCATCCACCCCTGCCTACGGTTTCTGGATCCGTTAGAGTGCGCTTCCAACCGGAAGCGTCGGGAATTTGCGGGTTCACAACATTTGAATCGGTATTGAATTCGTCACTTCGACACTTTAAGCCCAGATGGTGCGTTGCCCACCTTGTAGTCGCTTCAGGTCATCTTGAGTACGCGCAAAGTGGGCACAATTTGTTGACAGCTGAGAACGCAGGCAAAGTAGATGTTCAGGTCAAGGTAGTGGAATTACACAGCTCAGCGATCTAGTGCTACCACCCATCTATCGAGGAAGGTCATCAGTGCTGAGATACATAAAGTTGATCACATACAAAAAATCTCTGAATGAATGTAGTGCTAGTGGGCTAGCTCAAAACTATGCAACAGAATTATTCGAACTTTCCGAGGTAGAGATTACGTGCCGGTTATGCAATAAACATTGACATGGTCCAAACTTTACAGGAAAACATAAATGTATGTCTGAACATTAAAAAACATTTCAACACACCTCGGTGGCTCCAGGAATTTTGTTTTTTGGGCCCATCGACAAGTCGATGGGGACTGTGTCGTAAGCATGCCTGTCCATCGAAGTGTAGGCTTTGAACGGTGTTGGCATCTCCTCCATCCCATCCATCACTCCAGGTGTGTCGATGCGAAGACTTTCTGGCGAGTCAGGAGAGCTTGGAAACGGTGGATGAGAAATGTCTACTGACGATCCATTATGTGATGGATCAGGAATGGCAACTGGTGCAACCTCGAATGCAGAATGTCGCGAGTTCAAATGACTCCTCGCCTGCCACTCATGCAGACTCTTATGACCACAAATCGGACATTTGTAGCAATGTCTCAAGAGGCCACAGTTATTCATATGACTGTGAAGCCGTGTGGAATTTGATGTTCGATAAGAGCAGTTGTGGCATTGTAAACCGCCTCCTTCGGTCAAAGATGGTTTTGCCACGCCGCTGGTCTTCCCACTGCTTGTTCCAGTGTCCCCTTCATCCGAAGTTGTGTCACGGCCTTTGGGAGATAAATCAACAGAGTCGGTACTCTTTCCCTGACACATGTCGCCATATGAATAGGAATCCTTGCTGAGATTCGCGCTTGGCGGGGCACCATTGAGAGTGGTTCCTGCATTGTTTTTAAACTGAGACATAATTTTGATCAACTCCCCCTCCGAACTGAAACGTTCTCGATGATGAGATTCCATGTGTCGCTTTAAATCTCCCTTCCATGCGCTGCGATATGGGCAAAATACACACACAAATGGTTTCACACCCCAGTGTAGACGCATGTGACGTCGCAGTTCGCTCTGATACTTCGCCACGTATTTGCAGTGCACGCAGCAAAAGCTCCCAGCCTTTGCACTGCGTGTATTCTCCCTGGTTTTCTGCATTCCATGCACCAGTCGAAGGTGTTCGGCCAAATCGCCATGCCATGGAAAAGTTTCAGAGCACATGTTGCATCTGAAAGAGGTTGACACGATGTAGTGGGTCAGTTCTGTGGTAAGAGTGCTGTTGTAACTTAATCAAGATAGGTCACTAAGTTATGATCGCTAAACGGTGTACACTGCCGGATCGTTTCGAATGAATCTTTATGAGTTAAGATCCAAATGTGCTTAGACGTGAGACAAGGAATGATTTGGTACAATTGCTTTTGAACAGTTCATGTTTTCAGGGACTACCAGGTGTGTAAAACGATCGCACAATGTGAATGCACCAAAAATTGATGTCCCTAGTCAAGAATAAACTTAACACTGAGTTAAAAACATCCCCATCTGTAGATGGGGATGTGTGCTGATGATGAATATGATCAATAGAAACTTTTATTGGACCTAGTTTTGGAGAGTTTTAATATGGCTCCTTTGAATTGTTTTATCGTATAGAATGATCAGTTTGGACGGTAACAACATCCCGAAGAAACCCGGAATGACGAAATATTTCATCACGATGCACGATATGTCATCATGCACACATCTTCCAGAGTTTGGTGCACAATTTTCTGATGCATTGTAGCATTATTGCCAGGTTGCTGATAAAGTAAGCTAACGCCAGTAGTATATTATATAAGGCACTATGAGAAACGGGGCGCATCTGAAAGATTTTAAATTTCGTAAAACACAGTTTGAGGTACTGTCGCCTACACTACGGTGCACCAAAAAGCCCGCATAGAATGAGGTATGGAGAGCTAAATTGTCTCGTTCGTGATTTAGACTTAAAAAAGTACGGTGATGAGGTGTTAGATGCAAAACTTCAACAATGGAGTCTTTTAGATGTCAGAATTGCTCCACATCGAAAGCAACACCAGCTTTTGGAGATTGTCATCGAAAAATGAACTGGTGTTTTGTTCTGATACTGAGAGCTTCATGCATGTCAGAAATAACGCCTGACTCACAAGAATGTATACTAGTTGTGGACTGTTCAAAACTTAGTTTTAAGGCGGTGCTGTTCCATGGTAGAGACCATTTGTCTTCTCTCCCAGTAGCACATGCTGCCCACATGGGAGACGTAGGAGAAATGAAGGCAACTGTGGAATTCCAGTGAGTATAACTAGTGTTGCTGGCATTTCCTTGGTGCTTTGAAGACACTCGCAAGTTAATGGGAGTGCAGCTGAGATATACATGATAACGCTGTCTACTCTGCGTGTGGGATAGCTAAGCAACATATCTGCAGTGTTTGTGGAAGGAATGGACGAGCATAGAAACTATAACAGTCCGACAGCATATTTTCCATCACCTAGCACTTGTCAAGTATCACAAAATCCTGCTACCGCCCTCAGACATCGAACTATCCTTGATGGGGAATTTCGTGGCAGCCAGCATTCCGATATTTGCATGAAAGATCTCCTCGACTCAGCGAAGCAAAGATTTGAAGGGGAGGTTTTGGGGGCCCTCTGGTTCGTGAGCTCTTCAAATATAACTACTTAAACAACTCGCTACAGGGTGTGTAGAACAAGCCTGGATTTCTTCTTGCCTAGTGTTTACCAAATTTCTCGGAACATTCAGGCAAAATACTATGGGAACATAGTAGAAGACAGGAAGAAACCGTGTCAGACACTTGACAGCATATGGATCTAAAGAGACAATTCCTTCATTCCCATACGGATCTCTTCTCTGACAACTTCAAGATGATTAGTAACGAACACTGGGGACGTTTTCATCAAGGTACGTAGTTATGGAACAACTGTATCAAAGAAAATGATTCACTAGTATGACGACTGAAAACTGTTGGCCATTTGCCAGAGCGGCTTCCGAGCAAGTGTACTACAGGAGATAGGCCCAGAAGTGTAGGAGGATTAGTCTATGACTTCATTTTTACATAAGCTTATTAACTGAAAACCACTGTCGTACATTTGGTGATATAAGCGATTATTCAGATTACAAATAAAGTAGAGCCAATTTCGCAGTTTAACTGCCATATCCGTGTTTAGCACACCATTGATAAATAAGGACTAGTTCGAATTCAGGACTTTTGTAAGAAATATTGTTTTCCAGTGTAACCGGCGTCTATCACTCGAGTTAATGCATCTTAGTCAACTATTTTCTGACTCGAAACCCCTCCAAGTTCATTAGTAATACGATCATAATGCCTTGCAACAGCCAAGATGGTTTGCACTATGGTATCCATGCGAACGCAGGCAAGAATGCACAGCTCCTTGAATAGCCAACACGACTGATGCGAATGCGTGTCGCATGATTGTACCGGCGGAGAACTTGAGCAGGAATACGCAGTCAAGTGTCGTGTATGACAGGCATGGAGCACGCAATTGAAGCATGTGAGTTTAGCAGAGTGTTGACAAGGGTATGGCCCGAGAATATTTTCCAGCTAACTCCGATAGCGTTCATCAAAACAAACAAGTGAATCGGCATTACTGTGGAGAAAAGTATTACTAAAACTGTCACAGAGAATTCCGAAGACGACTTTGCGGCGAGTTAACATGTTCGTCTTTAATTCATTAAAAGCTTCAGAGTCACTGGATGTGAGTTGTAGAAAGGGGGTAGTACCGTCAATACGGTGTCTAGCTAAGTTAGAAAGCATGTACGTGACCCACAGGGCGGATAGAGAAGCAGCTACGCGTGCTCCTGACGTTCTTATGCAAGGTCCCTGAATGTAGCTATTCACATGTGAAAGCCGAAGGCGAATAGGTAGGAGGAAATACTCTGCATTACATAAGTATGACACCACCCCTCTCGGAATTCGCAATAAAAAGTTCGTCAATGCAATGTGAATCTATCTTTCTCTTACCATGAGTTTTGTTTGCTATGCAAATTAGCTTTCTCATTCTTTCCTCCTACCTTGTTACCTTCTTCGAGATTACTCAAACTGATGATCTACCGATGAGCACATGGGCACAATGACAGGTTGGATAACTAAGATCCCCGATTTTCTCTCTTTCTTTACTGCTATTGATGGCCAATCTATATTCTGTGAAAACATAGACACATCGATGATCTGATTAAACGAGGTTTAGCCTTGATCTTTCTTCGTTATACACTGCTTCTTACTCTGGGCTCACTTAGACTGAAGACCCACTGATGGCCTATGAAAAACATGCGCATATCAGTAGGTTGGATAAGGTAGTTTTTTCCTTAGCCTTCATATGATGCTTCCTTTCCTATACATAGCTAAGTGAAAGGTATGAGTGCCTACAAGACATGGACCTACTGAAAAGGTGAACTGTTGATGCCCCCTCACTAAACTACCTAATTTATCTACGTAACTCCAGCTTCTCTGTCATTATATCATGTCAATTGTGTCACGCACATCTTTCTAAGTGATTAAAATTTTCCATAAGGGAGACAGGTCTCAGTTTAACCCTTTACCGTGCTATCTTGTCTGTTCGCACGCTATAACTACTATTAAAATTATGGTTATGTACTAAATATATGAAGCACACTTTTCCAAGTACATATTACAACTTTATCTCCGTAGTTCGCTTTAGTTTAGCTACACTCCACCCAAGCGTATCTGAAGGACTCGCAACCGTCATCCGTTTCGAAGTCTTTTGAAACGAAATTAATAGTGCGAGTCAATGGAAAAGAAACTACACTTTGTGTTATTCAGCGAAGCTGTAAGTTCAGTTTACATTTCCTCTGTATATTATGCTCGGATCAGCTTTGCTGGGCCGTGTCTCATCTAGTTGAGAATTTGCCAATTATTAAAAAATCAACTTTCCTCACACGTGTCAGGGGCAAAGGGGTTTGGAGGAAAGAAAGATCCAATGCGACAGGATGTCTTCCTAACCTCTGTAGGAGCGGCTGTATACCCTGGAAACAGGTGCCCACACTAGTGGACACGGTAAATAAATACAGGATATATTCTCGTTTTCAGTGAGACACGCCTGTGACAGCATGTTCAAGTAATTAAAAGCATATTCTGGTGAACGACCACAGAGGATCAGAAAATGTACAACAATAACGCATATCGATTTTCAATTTTGATAGGGCAAAAATGATTGTTCTTTCAGCGTGTTATACTGCACTGGATGTCTTGAGAATATGAATACGAAAGGCTTAAAGGTGATTTTGGATAACAGGAAAATGGGTTTAACATAAGTATAAAGCAGGTATACATTTTCGGTAACGTTGTGACGGTTACTTTGCCCAAAGCTATTCGGTAATATCGAATGTTTGTTGTGACACTCCCATGAAACTGGAGCAAGAGGAAAATTGTGAACCGAGAGGTTGATAAGGGTGTGACCCAACGACCTGTGAGCACCTATGTGAGTCCACTCAGTGTTGACTTTGAGTAAAATCAGCAACGAACTATCTTAGCAGTGTTTTCGAGTGGGTATCACCCAATAGTTATGTTTTACCAGTGATCGAACTGGCCGAGGTTTGCTTCAATGTGAATCGCAGCCTGCATTGAGATTATGTTTCAACTGTCTTAGCTGTATTACGATGGAGCATGGTTATATCATGGGGGATTCAGTTGGCTTTAAAATGGTAGACAATGCAGTATGAGAGAAAGAATACGGCAACTGTGGAGAAAAAACGTTCGAATCAGTCTCAAATAGAAGGAAAATGTGTTGCGCTAAACGTACAAGTATATCCCCGTCATCCCAGCAGGTAAACGAATCCATCCAGCTTGTCCATAGGAGCAGGATAAAGGTACATGGACTGTCTAAAGTGCCAACTGTACCCTAGCTAAACGATTGATTCATATCACTGTCACAAGGTAGAATTTAAGAGGTACCTTGCAGTTATGATAAAACTTGACTGCGTTACGCAATAGGGGTGTTTGCTAACGAATATGTGAACTCAATCACTGGAAGACTTCTTCAAGTAGTGTACATTTTCCTAAGGCAACAATCCGAAGCCCCATAGGTCTGGGCGCTCTGACACACGAAATTAGATATGAAGAATTGTTTTGACAGTTCAAACTGAATCTCTCAAAGGTTCTTTGCTCTGGCATATGAGGTTCATACCCCTCAGCTCAGTAATCGAAAACAGAGCAGGCAGGGTGAGTATGGGAACCGTAAAGTAAAATACGATTGACTCTGATGGCAGATGCGAGGGTCATTTTGAAATACTCGTTGTGTGAATGGATCGCGACGCGAATTCTCAATGTGGACCGCGATACGCATTGAAGTGAACCGTGATGAAATCAGTCATTGTAACTATAACTGATGAAATAGATAGACATTGGTAGTGTGCTTACCACCAAATATTTCATATTAATGAAAGTCAGCCTTCCAAATGTTGTCTATTCCACAACTTTACATTCGCTGAGAATAGTTAATACTATATTCGTGGAATTACTTCAATTCGGTTCCACGAGTTGCATCATATGTTCGCAAATCCATTGTTTGTTTATAAGTGTAATTCCTTGGTTTATAAGTGTAATTGTAAATCCCCCTGCGTAGTTAGTTAATGGAAGTTAGTCCGCTCATTAATCCAAATCCTTACTGGTCTGGCTCCGTGCTTAGTGTAGTGACTCGGTTAACGTTCTGTGCCCATCTGATGCAACGGAACTTTTGCATCGTCAATGCATGAGCGCCATCTGAAGGTTTATTCAGGCTGAAGATTACAGCAAGTGAGTTATCTTACAGTTGTCGGTTCTAATTCGATTTGTCATAAGAAACTGATGTTACAGCTGTGATATCAATTCAGGTATGATAAGGTAAGCGTTCATAGTTGCAGACTTTCGTTGTGTTGTGTCCATTCACTAACGCAAATGTTAACGTGTCATTTTGTTTGCCCCTTCGGCTGTTTACGGGCGTTGCTTCTGCGTGACGATCACAGTTCCACTCTGACACGGACGGTATTACATTCTTTTCGCTGTATGCATCAGAGTGGTTCTTTATTTGCGTTTTGTTGGGTTTTTTTTGGTCGCACGCTCAGTGGTCTGCGTCATGCTTTATAAAGTCGTTTTCCCCAGGGATAACCTAGAATCCTGTCCCTCTGGTTTGCGTTCGCACCACCGTTAGTGGCTGGAAGCATTCACGTGGCTCGACAAAACAAATGATCTCAAGGTAACTGATTTCACGAACAGCCTGCATTCTTCATGAACAATACTCAATCTGTGTACTTGCGCCTGGTGCGTGAAATAGAACATGCGCCGTCCTTTGAGACCGTAGCGCACTATTAGTTTACTAATACCCTACTCATTTTTGAAAAGTAGCTTACGAGTATCTAAAAATCGCATGTGGAGGGCGCCTAGGTTCCACTACCGGAAACATGCTCCTCAGGGTCGCGGTTGCAATCCTCGACTGGGGTAGATAGAGTGCGTACTGTTAGAGTTCCGAAAGGATGAAACGACCGTCCAGAAGCTTCCGAATGTACGGAGGCTATCTGACTGAGTAATGCTCTGACGAATCTCCAAAAACACGACACAGTTGTCGATCGGATGCATTCGACTCACAATCCGTTCGAAGTTGGGATTACACATAACTACATCACGTCCTGGGGCAGACAATGGTCAAACAGTGGGTTGCTGAGCCTTGTCAAAATTTGTAATAAGGTTTAAAAATATCACAACATTACTGTCCATAGAAAAGGTAGAATACGCTAAGGGAGTAAGGGTAGTCGATATTCCTGTGACTTCCGTCAGATGTGATTTCAGTTTTATTATTCTTACTGAGTAACATCCACAAACGAACGTTATGCAACAAGTTTCAAAGATCGAAGGCCTTCCGCAGAAGTAATGACAACAGTGGTCATTCCTCATTTCGCAGGACTGTGCTGCTCTGATCTGTTTCATACAAACCGATGACCAAGAGAACAGTTAATGGTTTAAATGGCTTAAATGGAACATTTCAGACCATGACAAGGCCAAACTATCACGCCAAAAAGTAGCGGTAGATTTGCGCTTATGGGACCGTTTAAATTTATGTACAATGCCCATTTACCGGTAATCCCATAGAAACACAAGTGGTGATTTCAGAGCAAACAATTGTTTTCGATTTTTGTGTAAATTCGATTTATTCCTTATCAGACGCACTACAGAAATAAACGGTAAAAATGCGGGCAAAGCACGTGTGGGTACAAAAGGTAACCAACTGATCAAAAACATTCGAATCGTTTATTGGACCCACAGCACTTTGTAGTCTTCGTGCTTAATAGGAGCTACGTGAGCAAACCTATTGTAGAACATTGACAGCTGAAACTGCTAGGTCACGGGAGATACTCGGGGTCAAATGGACTGACTAAAAGTAAAAAGCCCTATCCGTTTAGTGTGTCTCACACCTAAGTACACGTCAAATGAAGCAGACTGGTGCACTAAATCACACCGACAAAGCTCCATCCATAGAACGCTAGTAGTTTGGCGCTAGGAAACAATAGCCCAATCTTTTTGTACATGGCGCACGGTGTTTTTTTAACATCATCTCTTAGTAATAGCCAATCCACTACAAGCGCGGCACGGAAAAGTATAGTAACCCGGCCACACACGACTCACCGGTATCTTCTTCTGGAATCCACCTTCTGCAAAGCCACCGCTGCCGCGGTGTCACCGGATGATGAGTCGCATTCGGATATCTTGTGAGACAAACGTGTAGTCCAGTTGGTACATTCGACCGCGTCCTCTCGAGTAGTACTAATTGTAGCTCTCGGATCATACAGCGCGTCGTTCGAACGCTTAATGAAGGGCAGACTAGGAGTTGCAATGGCGGAATCGGAGCGTGTCGGTATACCCGGATCGGATCCAGTTAAGATGGTTTGGGGGGTTGAGAAGGCTTGCGCACCAGACGGAGTCAAGCGGCTGTCATGCGCTGTTCCACTAATGACTGGACTGAATTTCAGCTGGCCACAAGGTTTGGTTGGATATCCGTTGCTCGGCGAAAGCTGATTGTCTGCTGCGGTGGGGTTAGGGAACACGAGACGGCCCTCACCATGCACGTTGTCCATGTGTTCGTCTTGACCTCGAGGGGAAGAGGCGGAGTAGCCACAGACTGGGCAGATGCACATGATTACCTCGGCGTCCTCGCGGCCTGAGTCTTGGAAAGCACTAATCACACGAGCCTCTGAATCTAAAATCAATAAAAGTGAGTTTATTCGCAACGGTCTGTGTAGGTTGGCAATCGGCCTTTGCACTGAAAGACAACAGTGCACTCTAGGACGCAGAATGACTGGCGGTGCACCATAGAGCGAAAGAAGCACTTGGTCCTCCGCCTTCGCGCCACTAATCGTGCAACAATCAAATTGGAAAATCGATGCGAGCACACCCAGAAATTGACACACATAACGAGTGCCTGATTTCCGCTCAACGATGTTTCGCTGCAATTGCGATACATCTATCTACTCGGATGGTCCTTTCAGGTCCATCATTCTCTCCCTCCATCTCTCTCTCTCTCTCTCTGTCACAGTTTAACAGCGAACGAGGCGTTTAGGCACAGGCAAAGCGAACCCGCAAGTTCGACGCCCACATAAACATAATGGTGCGGACGAAAGTCGTTCGAAATCGATCACCGGATGATGAACAGAAATGGAGTCCATTTGTGCAAGAAGATTGTTAAATTTCGCGCACACAAGTAGAAGAATCGGTACACCGTGATCAGATTGCGTACAGTGGGATGTGAAGAAAAAAGCCATCCAAATGAGTCCAGTCCGTATTCGTGTAGAGGAGTGCAGATGCACAGTTAGATGCACAAGCTGCGTACAAATATGCGCAAATAGAAGGTTGGAATAGAGAAGTGAATTAGGTTGATCTCTGTCGTGTTTTATACACTACGGCACAGAGCATTGGGGTGGTGGCGAGGCTGGAGCTGTAAAATTCAGAAATGTATCAAAACCATGAAGTCAGATCTTTGGTACAAGCTTCAAGTTTCCGTCCTCTGAAGGATATATGGCACAACGGATGGACTTTTACAACACAAGTCAATATTCGTCGTGAACACCAAATCTGTGAGATATGGCGTTCCCTGATGGTTGTACAATGGAAGAAACCAATCTCGAAAGAGGTTTACGTGTTTTAATGTGACGGTGAACGTCGTGAATTACTGAGAGCTGTTCAGCGTAGGTGAAATGGTCATTTTGCAGCAATGTACTGATGCACAGGCTTTAAAGCGCAATAAAATAATCGACAATCCCAGTGATCAATAATGAAATGCTACAAACGCAATAAGCTAGAGACACTTCGGTTACAATACTTAAAAAGCAAGCTTCTAGACTATTGCGTCACACCCAGTCGCCCTGGTCTATTGTTCCGTTTGATCGTTTAAATGCCTGCAAAATATGGACCCCTGATGCATCAGGACAGAATGTACACAAGAATCAGATGGAAAGTGAGTGTTACCCACCCTAAAACACTGCATACACGATGTGTTTCGATCCCAGTGATCGAAATGACAAAGGCTCACTTCAATACGAGTCACGGTGCACATTATTACGTATCGCAATACAATCGTATAACGTGTATTTCAAAATGACTACTCACTCAGTCATTAAACGTTGTGCCAAGCGTTGCCCGCTGTGACGCAGTGGCTTAGGGGTAGACTTCGCAACCGACACCCCAGTGGTCCCGAATTCTAGGCGTGCTATTCCAACTTGATAAGATCAAATAAGATCGAAACGCATCATAGTGCTCAGCGTTTCTGAGCGAGTAACATCCTATTTCCAACTGCATCAGTTACGGCCCTAGTGATCGAATTGATCAAGGTGTACTTTAATGCAAATCACGGCCCACCTAGAGATTGCAGGTAGCAATCCAGCCACCTAACGTGTATGTCAAAATGGCCTCGCAATCTGCACAAGGACCCTTTATCCACTTAATCCTCCACTATTCTGCCTATCCCACCGCCCAATTTCTCTCTCAGACGCTCCTCCTAAAGAGTGGTATAACACGACTTGGCAACCGTTTGTCGCGTTTCCTGACTAAACTTCCAAGGTATGGTCATAGAGAATTGAGATTAGAGCCACTGAACTGTTGCGTCATGTCATCCTCCATTTCAAAACTGCAGATCTACTTCTCTTTTTAAATGCGTCAAACTACAATAAGAATGAAGGTTGTGCTCATGGAGGTACTAGTGTCCTCTAACGTATTTAATGACCCGCATACGCATTTGAATCAAGTTTGCAGTTTTACGTGTGGTAAACCCCCCTGTATATCATTTTATCCAAAAACTGCATATGGTGGGCTCTTTTAAATGTAAATTCGTTTTACTGCATTAAAAGTTTACATCGTTTTGTTAAATATGCCAGCATTACGGAAGTTTTGTTCATTTCTATCACCTACATTTTCCCCCGCCACCACCTCCGTCATGGAGGTGGCGGCAGGGATAAGCTAAGCTAAGATAGAAGAATTTGGGGTTCGCTGGTTAAATATACGTTGTTACCGCGAGTTGACCAATAATCGACTTTAAAACATTATATTGTGAACGGACAACTGTCTGGTGTTTTGTGTACGGGAGTAGAGCAATTAGTTTCCGGATACGCAGTACACACATTAGGTGTGGATGGCCTATTAAGAAAAAGGTGAACACTAATCCAAGCTGAACATTGTTCTGCAAGTTTTCAACTCAAAGAACCCTATATCAGCAGCCCAGCACAGCTCACAAGTCATAAGAGTCGCTATACTCTGACTGTAAGTATGGAACTCAGTCGATGTCACTGGAGGGCGATTTTTATGACTACAGATGTGATTAACGTAGCACTAGAGTTTCAACCGATTGCGTATTGCGTTTGGCGATGATGCGCCTTCAAGAACCACCGTGTTGGAGTGGTTTGCAGAATTCAAGCGTCGCAGCCGGTCCCTGGATGATGAGACTCGGTGTGGTCGATCTGTGGAGGCTACCACCGTGGACAACATTGCTGTTGTGCAAACGATGCTGGAGGAGGACAGGCGGATGACTGGGGTACAACTGGAGAAAGGCAACGGGATCACATCGGGAGCAATCCGCACCATGTTATATGAGAACCTCGGCTTCATCAACTGACTGTGGATAGCGCCGTCGGGGTCGCGTTTGGCTGCTATCTCCGTCAGGCCAGTGTAGACCGTTCTTTACATTCTATAAGTCGCTTTTATCTCTGTTTTTGTGTATTTCGACATTAGTAGTGATTCTGAGTTACTTTATCAAAAATACATGTGCGTTAATTCTACTTCGTGCGATTCTCTATATCCCTGATTCAGTCGTATGTATCGGTACTTATTTTTGAAATGGGAAAGCAGACTGCCTGTGACAGCTGTTCTCAAATCATCGGTCATCGAGCAAACGCGATTATGCACAGCTTTTGCTGTGTAAAACTCCATATTTCATGTAGCGGTTTATCCGTCGATCAATTTCGCATCATTCGAGAGATCCGGCATGACTTTCTGAAAACTATTTGTAAACAATGTCAATCTAAGCTTGCGCCGAAGGCAGCCGAAAAGCTAAACAAGCGGATCAGTTGGGTAAAATGCGCTGAACCGCGCAGCTCGATCGTTTCTGCACCACAATCAGAGAATAAACCAACCAATACGCCTGCTACTCTATCCCCGGAGCAAAGTGCTGGCACTCCGGTAAGCTCAGCTTCGCCGCCTGCGTTTTCATTGAATGACACTAAAGCTGCGGTGTGCAGTAAGCAAAGTGGTGATGGCGAATGGTAGACACCAAGCCCAAAGAAGCTGAGAACAATATCCAGTGAGATGAGGCGCCGCAGTTTCATGGTCTTCCATGCACCTGAATCCTGTGATTCCAGTCCTTAGGTGCGCTGTGCACACGACGTCGAGTTTTTGCAAAGTCATGGATAGACTGCTGGACGTAGATGAATGAAACATATCGCCCGTCTCGGAAATAGTACGGAGAGCAAAAGTTGAGCTATGTGGGATACTTCCGTTGAAGAGGCAAGCTCTAAGTTGATATTGTCCAGACTTCGTATGCTGAGAGGTCTAAAGATCCACATATGTGCTGAATTAGATCCAGCAGACAGAGAAAAACTCGTCTGCAATGACTGAATTAAAGTGGTGCACGGACGATGGACAAAAAAAATCTCCGTACTTGAATTTTCGGGAAGTCACCCGGATTCCTCCTCGAATCCGGATCAACATATTTCTGATGCTTCAAGTGCGCCTGGTGGTTCTTACCGTGGTTGCGTGTACCATTTACTAATGTCTGCAGTCTGTTGAACAAACGCGATGAGTTGTGCTACTTGTAACCTCTCAGCAGCCAGAAGTATTAGGCCTTGCTGAGACATGATTAAACTCCGATGTAACCGTCCAAGAACTAGCTATCAGCGGCTACTTGTGCTTCCACTGTGATAGACCATCAAATGATCGCGGTGACGTGATGCTTTACATAAGGTCTTCCTTGTGTCGGCCGGTGGCCGAATGGTCTGCACGCCTGGCTTGCAATCATAAGATCACCGGTTCGAATCCGCGTAGGAGCGGGCGTCCGTAAAGTCAGCCCACGCGCGACTGGTGGTGGTTGCGCGGCAGCGATGCGCTGTTATGGCGTACAGCTGTCACATTATTTATTATTATTATTATACCGAAGTGCTGATGGTTTATGTGAGCAGTTATGGTGTTCGATTCACCTCAGACGCTGCGAAATGCTCGTGAGCGTGGTTTATCGCAGTCCACTGAGCCGCTGCTTTGACTGGTTGCCACATGTCCGCAACCACATGAGTCGTCCGCTGTTCCTGCTCATGGGCGATTTTAAATTATCTCGAATACAGTGGCCTGAGGCTGAAATTCTCCCTGGTCATTGTGAAGTCGAGAGGAAGTTTGCGGAGTTGCTATTTGAAACTGGGGCCACGCAGCACATCAACCAGCCGACGAGCATAACTGGGCGCGAGAGTCCATCGTGCTTAGACCTGCTTTTGACCAGCTGTGAGCAACGTGTGTATGAAATTCAAGTCTTGGAGCCCCTGGGAGCGAGTGCCCACTCGATGATTATAGCCAGCTTGGAAATGTCACTGCCGTACTCTCTTCCGCTGGAGCCAGACTTCAACTATGGGAAGACAGACTTTGGTGGCCTCACTCGAGCAGCGAGTCAGATGGACTGCTCCCTACCAAAGAGTTCATCTGTTGAAACCTATTGGACTATCATTAAAG